CCTTTGAAAATTTAAAAATTTTATGGCATAAAGATGGCTGTATATTTCCAATCGTGGCACAAGAAACGGAGAAATCACAAGTACACAAACAGTCATTGAACCGTGTAAGTTTTGTATATTTGAAATAATCTGCAAATGTTCTTACATACTTCATTGATTCTTAAACAGTATTAATTTTGTTCACTGAAATCTATCGCTAGGCTTTCTGTTCTGTAACACTGTCTCGCAGAAACGTTTGCCGTAATCGAAAAGACGAAGTGTAAAATATTTGTCTGCAACGTATTTATCTAACTTGACTCTTTGGTATTCTTCAAAACCAATCTCATTCATGCCGAGCTCGTGATCTTCAAAGAGATTTTCGTTTTCAGATCGATCAACATTGAAGTGGTGGCAGAGTTCAAGAATCAATTTACTACGAAGTTTGGTATCATGATTGATTTGATCTCCACCTTTCCTCACACAAGCTTTGAAGACTTGCTCTACATATTTGAGAACCAAATAAACAGACTTTGAAGGAAACTGTAAGCTGCCTCTACGTACGAAGTGCGTAAATGCTGCAACTGAGTCAGCTGAATTGCTTCTAACACCACTATAATCATGGTCAGAAAATTGAGATTGGTCACCTGAAACAAGACTGTTCCTACAAGCTGAGATGTTAAGCAACTTCGAAAGTTTTGACACAATGAATCCCCCAATGTAAAAAAGGATATTTTCAATGTATTCTGAATGTCCATCTTTATTCAAGTGCTCCATCATACATTCCCGTGGGGTGAAGCTGGTGGTGATTTGTTCATTGAGGCTGGGTCCTGTGATAATGGGTGAAGCGTGTTTGTTTTTGTGGAATGTTGGAATTATGTTAGTTGGACTACCATCACAAAAATGTGTGCAATTTGCATTCTTTGAGGCTGTTATTGCATTCCACATGAGCATCTTTCTTAGAGCATGTTTTAACTGAATGGTGTTTGGATTGTTGTTCCACCCGCCTTGTGACCGTATGCATAAAAATAATAATTCCAAATGGTCTTAGAGTATTAGTAAGTTAACATGTATTTGAATAGACTTCCAAGTTGAAAAACATTTCATTAGCCATCTCTATGATGGACTTAATGGTGGTGACAAAACCAGTAACAATGTTGTTCTTCCATGTGAAGTAAGTAAAATTCCATTGTTCGTTTGAGGTGAGAGCAAGTATTCCAATGTAGTTTTCAGTACTTCCTCTCATACGTCCTTTGAATTTGGTCTAAAGGGCTGCTTATACCCTTTGCCAATAGGATTTCTCTAATTTAACATATCAAAGAGCCTGTCAATTGTTCTTATAAAAATAATAGTTGGTTGACTATTTTGGAACTCAGGCATTTTCATTGATAGGTCTAGAAACTCCATGGCATCTGCAACAGAAGAATTTAGGGTTTGTGCATCCAACTAACATTCATCTTATTTTTTCTGAATTCAAAATGCTGTGTGGTAAGCCGGTTGCTAAGCTTCAAACCTTCATCTTGTTGAAGAACATGGAGATTGTGAAAGAAGTCTCACTTGATTTTTCCACCATCTTTGTCACTAAATGACAAAAGACTTCCCAGAACATTCTTAGCAAGTTTGAGCATGGGGCATGAATCCAATATTACGTACACATTGTAACCATTGAATGGATGTTTGAATTTGTTTTCATAGAATTGTATGTCGCTCCAAAGATGCATCCAAGCTGCTGGAATGTGCTAATGTTGACTGATGTTCCATCTGCTGTTATACTCAAGACTCGTAACCCTGCTTCTGCGGCCTATACAAGGGCCATTCTAATGAGCTGTGCTTGTATCTTTGCTGACATCTTATCGCACAAGAAGTAGGCAACTGGACACTTCCAATGTGTTCCTGTTCCAACCGGGAGGAATACAAGTGCCTCAGTAACTACAGTATCGGGGTCTTCTGGTGTTATGGGTCCATAATAGATAAATCCAACATACTTTTCTTTATCTTTTGGGTCAACTACAATTTGCTTACGAATAGGCATGGCATCAATCATTAGACAGCAGTCTTTTTTTGCTGGTTAGCTCTTTACCTCCTGTTCTAAGGACTTGAAAGCCTCTTCCAAAAAACCAGGTTCACAGTCCAAAGAGGAAGACCACTTTCTAATCATTGATGGCTTTGGCAATGGGATTATCGAACGAACATATTGGTAAGCTTTGGGGGAATAAAAATACGTAATGTGTAGTCATCTCTTTCAAAATGGTTACTAGATATGAAGCTGTGGTGTGTTGTTCTCTATTCTTCGTTATCGTTTTGTACTCTTTTAACAAATTCTTCCCATTTTTGCAGACGTTGCCCATATTTCAGTGGAAATCTGTTTTTGGTGATCATGTAATTGTTACATGTATATATTTTTATTTGTTCATCCTTATATAGTGTCATACTTATAGTAAATCTTAACGTAAATTGTATTATGAAGCTAAAACGATTTTCTGTCATTATGTTGCAATGTAAGCATTGTACTTCATTATTTATCAATGTTCTTGTCAATGGCTGTCAAAATTATACATAAAACTCGCCTGTGATATGCAGCATAAGGAGTATTCTCATTTTCCCTAAAATTTTCATTTGGTGTCTCACAGACCTTACAGGTATATGGCATAATGTATTACATAATTGTTCAAACAATTTTACAACTTTCAAAATGTTTTTTTTTTAATTTTTTTGCAATTGCTCAGTAAATAACAAATTATTGTGCGCTCTGTTTTGAAAACAAAAGCCTGGGAAGACTAAAAGTATAAACAATTTTACGGTAAAATTTTTTCCTTTTAAATGCTTATTTTTGGACTCTTAAAAAATTCGTGTGTGATTCAACAGCAGTTTTTTCAATTTAACTTATATTTTACTTCAAATATCGAAACAAAACATTTAAACTCTTTTTGGAAAGTCTTATAACTTAGAAAAAGCGAATATTTTTGCGCGGTTTCTTGCCAACTTTTATTTTTGTCAGATATTATTTCAGAAACTAAACGACCTTTGCACTATGTAGTTGCTTGAGTGAAAAATTTAATGCTTCTACTATAGACAAAGCTGAATATTGAAGGTATTAAACAAACAGAAAAGGGTGAAATTTAGCGATATAAAAAGTGTATTTTTGAAAAAAGTATTTTCTAGCTCAGAAAATTGCGACGAATCCACGCTAGAGGATGTATCGTCAACAAAAAGAAAGGGGGTGCAGGTGGATTTACATGTTGTGTACCCATAGGCGGCTCAAAAATCTGTTTTACTCTTTAGGCTTTACATGCGATCGATTTAAATAGTAAATATATTCTTAATTCATGCGCGATGTTTATCACGCACGCTATCTTGCGTGACTTCCACGTTTTTTTTGTCTAAACTGACTTTTATTTTCACAACGTAGGCAACTTCAACACAAAATTACCGACCGTTAACACCACAGATTCACAAATCTGTAAATACCTTATAAATACATAGTAAAACACGGAAAACAAATACATCTTATAAATAACGAATAATATTACTGAATTTTTGCAGGTTTTTAACGCTCAAATGAATTTCTATGCATATGAAAAACGCGAATGTTTTTAGAGTTTGGGGCAAATATTTTGCGAAACCTATGCTGGGGACACTCACCTTGTGATTCGTCATATTTTTAAATGCTCAAACGCACGGCAGATTGGCTGAATTTATGTGAAAATAATTGAAAAAACTGTAGCCAATCTAAATGTATGCGAAAATAACTTTAACCAATCTGCAGTGCGTTTAAGCCATAAAAAATAGGACGAATCACAAGGTGAGTGTCCCCTGCATAGGTTTTGCAAAATATGTGCCATAAACCCTAAAAGCATTCGCGGTTTTCATATGCATAGAAATAAATTTGAACGTTAAAAAACGACAAAAATATAGTAAAATTATTCGTTATTTATGAGATGTATTTATTTCTCGTGTTTTGTTATATATTTATAAGATATTTACGGTTTTGTGAATGTGTTGTGTTAACGGTTGGTAAATTTTGTGTTGAGAGTTGCCTACGTTGTCAAAATATAGACTGTTTAGACAAAACAAACGTGGAAGTCACGCGAGATAGCGTGCGTGATAAACATCGCATATGAATCAAGAATATATTTACCAATTAAATCGATTGCATATAAAGCCTAAACAGTAAAACAGACTTCTGGGGCCACGTGGTTGCCTACCAAACGACGAAAGAAACTCTGAGCTTTCTTTCTGTCTATATCTTCGAAAGAAATAGTAGCTTAGATCTAATCTTAAAATATTGAATATCTAGATATTTCGAAATCATAGGCTTCCTAGAATTATACGTTGTAAACAGCATAAATCTCTAATACTGACAAACCAATAACTATCGAAAATGCGTGCCTTCGATGACCTACATGTTTCCAACTGTTGTTATAAATTTCTAGCGCTTATACAAACAATAAATTAACTCATAAACTTATATACCTGGCCCTAGTTGACTGCTGAAATGTGCGATTAATTGCAGCAAATTGAATTCTTTGAATCAGAATTAATAATATTTTAAGAAAAGAGCAGGAAGCAGTAGATTAATAGCTTCAAAGAAGATCGGAAATGGAACCTCTTCAAATAGTAAAGATTCAAAAGTGGTGCGATCGTGGTAATTGTGGAGCAATTGCAGGAAATGAATGGAGATTTCCTTAATTGCTAGCAAATTATGTCAAGTTCAATTGATGTAATATATATTTGAGAAGTTGCTATAACTTGAGAGTTGAAAAAAAGCAAAATATCAACTACAGCATTGTTTATAATTATTTTCCTTTACACGATATAACAGATGATTTTAAGCATCCAATGTATACATGAGAATGTAGCTAAAATATTGTTGAATTTTTAATGATTCCGACAAATGTTTCATTTAAACTTATAAACGTTAAAATAATATTAACAATGAAGCTTTACCATACATGGTAAGTTGTGTGGGCATGTTTGCTCTGCATGTGCTGAGAAAGCAGTCAAACGTTAAATATTGCTAAACACAAATACCTATAAATGTACACTTATAAATCATTGTATAAGAGAATTTAATGTCTGAAAAATGCTTCAACGGCTACTCTCATAGTACTTTCAACGCAAATTTTTCTTGTGACTTCTTTCTCACACTTGTGATTTGTTCCTATGATTTGATAATAATTTATTCATAAATGATTCGTGACGCGTCTTCCTGGTGTTGACTATCGTTTCATCACACAAGTCAATGATCGCTTAAATTAACAGTATAACAGTGAAAATGAGCTCAGATAAAGAAGAAAATACTCTTCTCCCACCCTTAACTTCTGTTCCTAAGAAGCGAGGGAATAGAGCAAGATGGGCATCCGGTGTAATATTTTTGGCTACTACTTCACTGGTGTTGGCATTTGCTTTCAGCAGTCCTACAGAGAACGAATGCGTACGTGCCTCTCACAGCAAAGAGAGAAACTCGACAGGAGAATGCTTCACAAAGAAAGAAATTCTCACGTTCCCAGATGTATTTGCTACTGCACTCAGTTTGTTTGGTGTCGTTCTTGGAACGTTGGTTGATCGTCTTTCGCTCGTCGCAGAAGAATACAGACATAGGGAACAACGCTATGACGGAAGTTGGAAAAAGATGTTCAAAGCTTGTTTTAGTGGAATACGTTGGAGTCCTGTAATTCTGCTTATAATACTGGCTACTATATCACTTATCATTCTAATAATTGTCAGAAATTATAACGGTAAACCATGGTGTAAGATTCAATATCTTATGTATATCTTGAGTGGAGTTGGTGTTGGTCCTTTGGTGATGCACTTACTCAATCTAAACACACAATCAAAGATTCATATTTCCATGATTCTTGAAGAAAATCAAACAAACGTCGCAAACGGACTAGCTTGGCATTATTATATCAATTATCTCCAACCAGCACTGCCAGCCTTCAAAGAAGCCGTGCGTTCATCGAATTTAAGGTACAAAAAGTTAGTATTACTCATATCACTTGATTGCATTGTTAAAGATAAATTGAACGACGTCGATGATAAAATTGTTGAACTCCGTAAAACAGGTAACGAAGGAGAAAAATTTCGATTTACAATTTATAAATTGACGGTGGGCAGTGAAACATACGAACTTGCAATAGAGTACGTAAAAGAGCCCTTACATACTTTAGGAGAAATGTGCAAGTTGAAAGGCAATAAAGCTGTAGAAGAAGACGATCTGAAGGAACATGTAAATTTAGTACATCGTTCTTTACATGAAATTTTAAGCCATAAAACCCTCAAGGAGTGGAAAGAAGCGTGTGTATTTGTGTGTATCGATTACGAGGAATTTGGCAATTTAAAGAACGGACGTCTGGCTCAGTGTATTATTAATATGATCAAAAAGTCAAACGGCGAAGATAACACAGTTGATGGTTCTCCTGGATTCATCACACTTAAACAAAGCAATGATAGCGATAAAACGTCCAAAAGCGCAAAATACAAAGGTGAAAGTCTTGACAATAGGAAATTATTAGAAATTCCTGATCCTATAGATGATCTTGATGAACTTGAAGATAATCCAATAGTACAAGAAAGTGGAGTGTAGCGATGCCTTTTTAATTTATATTTTATGTTCAAAGCACGTCTTGTAATTATTTACTATTACACAACACAACTCGGAAGGTGTTAGGTTTTGTGATGTGGCCATCTACCTTCTTTAGTATATATTGACTTACACCAACAAATAGAGATATTACAGATAACTGTAATGATCACATTTAATGTTCAACGTCAATGTCTATTGTCTACGATCTATCGCACAATGGTTAAACTACTTCTATTTATACAAGATATTACACATGGATATATTTGTTTCTTTACTATATATGGTTTATTTACAATCGACGGAAAGATATTAGGAACTATAAAAAATATTGTGATTATTGCACATAAGTATCTCTTAAAATAATCATTTAGTTAGTTACACTTGACTTAATTATTTACTAATTACAGGAAGAATATGAGAGCATATCTTAACAGAAGGCGTTCAAATACCGCCACTCTCTAGTAAACTTATTGGTTTTTATGAATATGATAGAAAAGGTTTCTTCCACATGTTTTATAGTTGGCTATTTCTTAGCTACAAAGGCAGACGTAGAATTTCTTTTCGCTGGTTAATATAAAATTACCTGATTATCCTCGCGACGATGAGCTGCAAACAAAATTAGTTGTCGGGACTTGAAAGACTGTTCCCTGATCTTTCTAATATGACAAGCTCCGCTCTCGACTCTCATTGCCACGTCATTTAGATACAATCATACGCCCGCTTTACTACACTAACATTTAATCTTTACCATAAATGGTAACTTGTGTGAGTATGTTTGTATGTTTTCTCAGCATGAGTTGGGGAGCGCCGAGTCAGTCTGACCGGAAAATACCTTTGAACAAAGTATCTATTATAGAAAGAGGCAATTGGTTGAATTTACGGTCTTATCTTTATCTTAAGTTAAGACTACTTACTTAATACTTAAAAACGTTGGGGAAATTTGATTGCGCGTTTTCCAAGAATAATGTCGATGAAAATTATTTAAATTACTTTAGTCGTATGTCTCAGACAGGAAATCAGTAGCTTAACTACGGAAAATGGAAGCAAATGTAACAGAAAAGGAAAATTCTGCTATAGTTAAAACATGCTATACTTCTGTTCCCAAGAAGCGAGGTAAGAGAACAAGAAGAGCATATCTCGTGAAATTATTGATCGGTGCTTTATTGGTGGTGATTTATAGCGTCCTTTACCGTGATGAGTACAAATATACGCGTGTCAACCACATCGAAGACGGAAGTACAACAGGAGAATATTTCACAAGGAAAGAGATTTTAACGTTCCCATTTTTATATGCTATCGTATTAAGCTTTTTTGGTGTCGTACTTGGAACATCAATTGATCGTCTTGCTCGTTGCAGAAGAATGCAAACACACGAAGGAGCGTTATGACGGATGTTGGAAAAACATGGTCAAGTCTTGTTTTAGTGGAATTCATTGGAAACCGGTGTATCTAATTGTAATATTGAGTGCTTTGTTTGCCATGTGTCTAACACTGTTCAGAGTTAGTGCTGGTAAGCCGTGGTTTGAGCTTAAATATCTTGCTTATATCATTGGTGGTATTGGCGTCGGTCCTCTTGTAGAATACTTACTCAACCTGAACACGCAGTCTGATGTTTTTATGTCAACGATTCTTGAAGAAAATCAAACATACGTTGCAAACGGAATAGCATGGCAGTACTTTATCTATCTCAAACAAGCACTTCCAGTGTTCAAAAAAGCTGCAAGTTCTTTGAATTTAAACAAGAATAAGTTAATATTACTCATACCACTTGACTGTCATACAGAGGATGATCTGAGCAAGGTCGATAATAAAATCTTTAAAGTCAAGGAAACAGGAAGACATGGCGACGCATTTCGATTTAAATTATATGACTTATCGGTTGGCAGTAAAAAACGTCGATTTGCAATACAGTACGTTAAAGAGCCCTTGAATACCCTAAAAGAAATGTGCCTGATGAAGGACGGTCAAGCGGTGACACATGACAATCTAAACGAGCAAGTAAAATTATTTCAACGTACCTTGTTTGATATATTCAATCATCAACTCAGAAAAGTGTATAAAGAAGCCTGCTTATTTGTGTCATTTGATTGCGAAGAACTGGAGTTTTTGAAGAATGGAGGCTTGGCTAAAGTTATTTTTGATGGTGTTGAAAATTCTCATGACGAAGGTGACAAGATTGATGGCGTCCCTGGGTTTTTTAAGCTTGAGAGACCTAAACAATCCGATAACGGAGGCAAAACCTCAAAGAAGAAGAAAAGAGACTCGGATGTTTCGATTTCATCAAGCAAAAATAAAACGACACTTAGAAATAGACAAAATTCACATTTGAGTGAAATAGTCATTGTATCCGATCTTGATGGAGGTGATGTTGGGCAGTCAACGAAACATGGGGTAGAGAATAGTGACGTTTAAATTTTTAATTTTTCAGGGATTGTACAACCAAGGGGCTGGAGGACATAACATTAATTTAATATACCCCTGACAGTGATTTAAGGGCGTCTTAAATATTTTTTTTGCTCCCAGACCCCTAACAACCTCCCCCCCAAATATGCTTCATGCTTCCCGGCCCTGTATTTTATAACATTGAATTACAACTTTCTGGTTGTATGGGGCGTCGTTTGTTTCAATAATACTTGTGTTGCAAATATAACACTTATTTAGTTATATAATAGTTCATATTATATAGGACAAACAGAGAATGTGGCGGCTTCTCCGTAAGATTGTAGAAGGATCAGTTCACGTTCATTCACAGATAGAAACTTTCGATTATTATATGTGATAACTGTATGCATGCGTAATTAAACATGAAAAAAATGTGAGCAATTTTCGTTTAGTTCAATACATATATATAAAGACTTGTTATTTGCTATTTTTCTCTGATATTTGTCTTTAAGGTATGATTTAAGGTAAGTAAACGCGTTTCGACCTTTTTGGTTTTCTATCGTTACATTCTTTAGGTGTTTTCTTTAAAATGTCGACTAATTGTCAAGAAAAAAGAGTTTGGTTATTGGATACATTGAAAAGCTCGTTTTGAACTTGTAAGCTCCTTTTCATTGAATCGCAGCGTCATAAAGAATGTTATCCTTCTCGGTATATATTTTTGCTAATATAATGATAGCCATGCTTGAAAACTTCCACTCAAAGCTTCCACTTGAGAAAATGAAGATCATGAAGAAAAACAAGCATTAAAGTGACGAAGAATTTATAGCTAAGTCTTTAATATCAAATACTTTGTATAGATGTCTATATATACGGAAAACGTCAACCAATGCTTAGGACAGCAGCTTCTTGGACAGTTTTTTATCTCTCCAAATCCCATGTTGCACGGTTTAAGCAAATAACATCACTTCAGATTAGCTTGACGCTGAAAAAGATAATGGGGGAAGTCAAAATAGCTGTGCTTATGATGATGAGTCTCCTGATTTGATGCCTATTCCTTTCGGCTAGGCTGCGAGATATTCAAGACTTCGGAATGAATTTGAGGTGTTGCAAAGGCTTGGGAAAAGGAGGGTTTGCCTCAGTTGTCAAGGTAACTTTTTATTACATACATCGTTTAAATAGACGGTAATTTGGTCATGTGAAAGAAATTTTGTGCATGATTTGGAAAAGCTTTATATACGCTTAAGTACGTTATAAATTGGAAGGCTGTCTCTGTACAATCAAAAGACTTCCTTTGATTCCGAAAAGTGTGCAGCTTAATCGCAAAATTACTCGAGAAGAGAAGTTGCTTTCTTGATTGAATCATGAAAATATTGTAAGGTAAAAGAATATTACTATCCAAAATGAATCAAAATTTTATAACATAGGGGTTGAAAGCGAGGTTTAATTTAGATGACACAAATTGCTTGGCTTATTAAATGTTATCTTTGTAGAAACTATTATGAAAAAAGTAGATGATCCTTTTTTTCGATGAAGCACATGGATGCTTTCGTTCATAATGAGAAAAACATATTGTATAAGGAGGCTCTCGTTTATCACGAGAGAGTTATGAGAAAGTTATATTGTAAAAGGTAACATATAAATAAACGTATAAACATGCTTAGAGTTGGTTTAAATTATAAATCAAAAAAGCAGAAGTTGTTTGAACCTTTGCCGTGTCTTTGGATGTTCTAGTTTCTTTTATGAGAAGAACTCTTGTGAAGAAAAAAGAAATATTTTGATAACAAAAAATCCAGTTTTCGGTCCATGCCTTCCGATGCCCCGAGATAGTTGAGCACTAAAGCGTCGCAAGTTAATCAAGGGAACCAGATAATCCTACTTCGCCATGAAGCCCATGGATGGTTTGCTCGTGATACATGAGTAACAGTAAATGAGAGAGTTAAATCAGAAAGATGTAAACCAATAAAAATTGTATAAAACATATTTAAGTTTGTCTTAAATATAAGTTCCAGAAAAAGGCACAATGTCAGAAGAAGTTAATTGAAACATTGCTTGGTTTATTTATTTTATGAAAGAACTTCCGTAAACAAAAAGATAAAATTCGAAAGCAAAAAAACCCGTTTTCGGTCCATGCTTCCCGATACCCTCTTAAGCGCAAGGCAATAGAACGCCGCATGTTAACGTTTCGGTAGGAGATTTCGGCCCCTCCACGCTATCCTACTTGGGGATGCCAATAGCAAGCTTCCGTCCTTTGCTCGGGGTTCGCAGGGAGAGTGCGGTCGCGACCAAAGTCTGGGCTCCTAAGCCACTGCATACTATATCGCACCGAGCTTCCACTGCGAGTTGACATCTACTATACCAAGTATTGGCTTTATATATAGATATATGCATAGCCGGGAGGGCACATTGTTATACACTTTGTATATATATATGCATAAATTCAAAGGCTTACGAAAGTTGTAGTATTATTAAAGTCACTACTGCTCATACCCAGTTGATTTCTTCGATAATTTTTGACTAAGTGAGTTAATTGCCGCAAATGTAGTGCAAGTACATAAAGTTAGTCGTTGCCAAGACTATGAACAATTAATCGAGTGGACTGCCCTTGCTCGAGTGCATGCGCTGATGATTTTTCTAATTATCTGTTACTAAGCATGCTATTTACTTGCAATTGTTCGTTGTCCTGATCTTAAACTTGGGAAGCTGGTCAATTCGTTTGCCCATGCTTAAGCAGATTGCGCATGCGCAGGAGATTTATCTGAAAATTTTGGACTTAGCAAGCTAATTACCCCCTCTAATCGGTACTAGTTTATACAGTTGGTCGTTGCCATGACCATGAGCTTGGGCAGCTGGTCAAATCGACTGTCCATGCTCTAGCATACTGCGCATGTGCAAATGATTCATCTGAAAATTTGTGACACTTTGTTAAGGCACTCATAGTATCCGTTACAATGTTAGAGATGTTCTTATTGTTCTCTATAATTTTGTATCAGCTTATTATTTTGCATGAAAACTTGCTCTGATATTTATAGCAGATATTATAATTCGTGGATTGAGGAATTAGAAATACTTGAAAATGAAACTTCGAACAGTGAAGCAAAATAAATATGACAATTGCTAGTCTTGATTTCATAAGGTTATTTTCTTATGAGTCTTTAAATTAATTTTCTCTATCACATCGATAATTGTTCTTAACAGAGCCCTCTAGTTCTCTGATTCTTAATGGTATGAACTCCAAGCTATTCTCCATGCCTTTAACTGCTAGTCAAGTGAAATGACTCGCTCAGATGATTCTCCCATTTGTGATAGAACAAGATAGTTAATCTGAAATCAGTGTAATTTAATGCAATTGGCAGTTGGTCGTTGTTAGAATTTCGTACCTAAACTCATGCTCTCTCATGCTTATTTAGTGAAATATTGACGTTTGGTTTGTTTTCTTCAGCATGATAAATTGTCAAACTTTCTGCTTCATTAAACATTGCTGCCCAGGCATGCCCCCTCCTGCCTGACCCAACCTTGAATACCCCGATGGTCCCATCCTGCGCGAAAGCAAATTAGATAAGTACTATACAGTCAAACACTGCAACCATGGGCACTAACGTTATATAAATAATAAATGCTCTGTATTATCTATGGTTGACTCTAGGCCAAGGCACGGGGCCAAAGCTACTTTCGTGTACGCGCTGTATTGAACACAAATAGTCTGGCAACGAAGTAACCACAAGTAACTGACCAATGAGAACGAAGTATTTTAATTACTTGTTGGGAATTTATCAATTTAGTTTGAATTTACAATTTACACTAACGGCGCATGTTTTCTTTAGGAGGAGATGTAGTAATTCAAATGATCTCCAATGTATTTGCCTTCTCGAAATATAAAAACCTATACTTACATTTTGAAATTGTTTGATGATGAAAAAACTGTCTCAGACATGGCGACAACGTGCCAAATTTGTCGAAAAAACACCTTCAAATATAAAACGTACAAAACACGACGGTGAGTCATTTCAAAATCATGAAGTAGTCACGTAGCTTGTGTTGATATTTGTTGTTTGAATTCATTTGTCTGTGTAAGTATTGATTTTCCAACAACCACTGCTGCTATTTAATCTATTTCGTGCATCCACTGTTTGTACATGTCCTATTAATGTACATCATATTCAAATGATTGTATATTTTTGCAACAAGCTTATTGTCTTAAACAACTCAATGCTTTTGACTTTTAAGACAATGTAATGCTTTTATGTAATATCATTTCTTGACTTTTTGTGTTTAGGTCAGAGACAGGCTTTTCCTTCTGCTCTTGATGGTAATTCCACATCATGTAACAATGATGTGCCAGTTGATGATAAAATAGATCAAATGGTCTCTATTTGTGATGAAAAGGTGATTGCTACTGATTGTCTATATTTTTGATGATTTTAAGGACCTCTCATGGTTTTTGTTGACCCAGATTTTCCTGATAAGCAACTTTAAACTAAAAATCATGCTAAGTAATTTTTATTTTAATGTTTCTTGGCATTTTGTCTTTTTATTTTGGGGAAGGAGGATGCAGTTGTTTAGGGCATTGTCTCTCAGTAATGGTAAAAATTAAGGCTGAAGATATGAATCACAATTTAAGTCATGAATTGTTATAAAAGTGAAGTCATCTAGCTTTGTGTATTGCAGTTTTTCCTATTGACCACATTTAATGAATTGAAAGTCAATACACTTAATGTGTGTCACATTTTAAGAATTACCGTAACTGCATAAAAGCACTATAGATTATGCACATTTAATGAATATGATAAGTTTCTTTAAAAGAAACATGTTTTAAAATCTCAAGATGCCATCTTCAATGTAAGTGAGAATATTATGTATGTGATAAATATAAAGTAGTAATATGATAAAGTGATGGTTTATACAGCATTTTTGTTTTCACCCTTTATCTGCCATTGTATGTTGCCCTTACCAGCACAAAATAGGCAATGGCGTATAACGTTCAATAGAAAAAGGATCCATAATTTAACAGAATCAATTATTTTTCAATAGGTGGTGGAAATATCTCATGAAAACTCAACTCGATGCAGCCTTCTCTTCAATTCATTTGCTCTTGATTCACAAGCTCTGTTTGCTGTGGATGAAATGGAACAAGAACATATGAATTGTGTTTCAAAAACCTTGGATATTGCTAGTCTGTCCCCAATTATCCCTGATAAACCTCTTCCAACAAATTTATCTGGTGTAATTATGGATAATAATGATAAACTAGGTACAACTGCCAATAGAATTGATCAAGTTTATAAATGTGGTGATCAAAATAAATTCATTAGTACACCAAATGATAAATTTTTTGAAGAAGGTACATCTGGGGATAAGTGTGGTAAGACCAGTACATCCAGGGTTAAAGAAACAATAAGAATGACCAAAGGTGACGCAATTGGTATGTCAAGTAAAGAAGATGGATTAAAATCAAATATTGGTGTATGTGATGCAAAGACTTCAAAGTTGGATAATGAGGAAACATGCAACTCCACTCCATCCATGATCTTACATGAAAGCCCAAAAAAAAATCAAAACTGTAAAATGGACGGTGACAGTAATGATAGAAGTTCTAGTTGCATAAACTCTCAAGGCAGTACAACACAGGATTCCACAGGTCATTGTCTTACTCAAGATCAATGTACCCTGTCGTCATGGGGATTGCCTGCTAGCATCTTGGAACAATATGACAAGATCGGCATCAAAACTATGTTTCAATGGCAGGCGCAGTGTCTCCGCACTGGGAATGTCTTAAATGGAGGTATGACTTGAGATATTATAGTGAGGGGGCAGTTAGCATGTTTGAATTGAAATGGTGGTTTGGCTTTAATAGTATATTATTTCAATTTTCAATCGTCTATTTCCTTGCACATTCTTGCAAATGGTAAATTATAACATAAATTTTTGTGTCTTGCAGGAAACCTTGTGTACTCTGCCCCAACAAGTGCAGGGAAGACGATGGTCGCCGAGATTTTAATGTTAAAGCGAATCTTAGAAACAAAATGCAAGGCTTTGTTTATCTTACCATTTGTTAGTGTTGCTCGCGAAAAGATGTTTTACATGAAGGTATTATGACTCTGTCTTTCATTTTCTCTGTATGATGACAGTCATTAGTGCTGTGAACCGGAGTTAGGCCGCAGCTCCCGCCATTCTTGCCTGCCGGAGCCTGGCGTTTGTTCATCTCCGGCAAAACTCCGACAGCAGTTATTTGTGCTCCAAATTACTGTCAGATTTCGATAAACGTGTCCGATAAAAACATTTTTGTGTCAACGAACAATAATTATCGGTTAAAATTGAAAAACTTACATGAAAATAAAACGTTTTATACCTGACACAACATGATGCTAGATACCGTTCACACATGCTAAGTTATGATTGAAAATCGGATTGCGTAAAGTTAACTTCAATTATATAAATTTTACTAATGATATACCTTAAACAGTTAAACAGTCACTTGCAAAATTAACCAGCCACAACCAGATATTTGAGTTATAAAATAGCCGTAGCCGGAGTTCAGAATTGACAAGAGGCAGGAGCCGAAGCTGAAAAACTGGAGTTTGCACAGCACTAGCATTGATATAGTCAGTGAGGGGGGGAGGGGTGTGAGATATTTGAGGGAGGAACACATCGGGGTGTAATAAAACCCAATGATTATAACCACACCAAGTATTTTCCAAGCAACGATACATCCCTAAAATATCCCAGTAAAACAGTTGGCTTGAACAATTCGCTAGTAATGCTTACTTGACCAATAAAAATTTAGCGTATGTTTGGTGGGTGTGGTTTGACGATTGATGGCTATATGGGTAGTCAGGTGCCAAGTAAAGGCTTTGACTCCGTTGACATCGCTGTATGTACAATTGAGAAAGCAAACGGTCTTGTAAATCGTCTAATGGAGTCTGGACAGCTTCATTTGGTTGGTGTCATTGTGGTGGATGAAATTCATTTGATAGGTGATCCATCTCGAGGCTATCTCCTGGAATTACTTCTCACGAAGGTTCTTTACGTCACGCAAAGCATTATGGGTAAGTACCTAGTCGATGATTGTCTCTGAAGGTGAAAGGGGGAATTAGTTTTAGTGCGTTAACTGGTGGTGCTTTGATTCAATTTAATCCAGGTGGATTAACTGCTGCTTGGATTCAGTTACTAATCCGGCTGGTTACTAATCCACTTATAAAGCTATATTATCTTAAGAGTGGTAATGTCTTCTGACATTGTCTGCTTTGAATATTTCTCTTTGCACTACTTCAACCTGACCACTGTTGAAATTTAAACCAGAATCCACTGGCGGACACTTGGGGGCAACTGATTTAAAATCTTGCGTAAAATCCCTCAAATCACACCTACCTAACATAAGTGTGATGTTTATTTCAAAGCCATCATCAGAGATTATACATAATATGAATCCTAATCATTTAGGATTTATATTAAGTGTGATGTTAAATAATAACCATTTGATAGACTTCTGTTCTGCACACATACCAGCAGACATTGAACCGTGTGCGTGTAGGATTGTGTTTACGTAGGAATCACTAAAGTAAATTTCTGGAGATAAAATTTTAAAATTATACCTATAGGTATGCCCTGAAATCTCCCAGAATTCTCATGCCTTGAGGACGAGCCACCTCCTCCCCAATATTTCATAAAGTGTCCCTCACTGACTGGCAACATTTCAAATTCTTAGATCACAATGTCCAAATCATTGGTATGAGCGCCACTTTGCCTAACGTAAACACTCTTGCCACGTGGCTCAAAGCTGATCTATATTATACGGACTATCGTCCTGTACCTCTGACGGAATATTTTAAGGTCGGTACAGTTCTATACGATAGATCAGGCAACGTGTCACGTGAGTTGGACATGTCACAGCTAATCGACGGTGATGAAGAACACGTGTTATTGTTGTGTCAAGAGACCGTTGTTCGTGGTAACGGCGTGTTGATATTTTGCCCAACAAAGTCCTGGTGCGAGAAATTAGCGGAAGTAATTGCAAAGCATTTTAACAAATTATTCAGTACAACGGAACACGACCAAAAGAAGAGCCCACTGTACACAGGAATTTTGGATATTGACGCTTTGAAGGATGTGTTTGAGCAGCTTCGTAGTTGCCAAGTTGGCCTTGATGGTGTACTCAAGAAAACATTACGTTATGGCGTTGCTTATCATCATGCAGGCTTGACTTACGATGAAAGAGATGTCATTGAAGCCGCTTTTAGAAATGGCGTTCTTAAAGTTTTGGTCGCTACATCTACCCTGTCTTCAGGTTGTATAGATTGTATGAAAAATGATCATGTATAGGGATGCATATGGATAATATTGCTTACTAGGAACTAGAAAGGATATACGTGGATTGTTAAGAGCGTCATTGAAGCCGCTTTTAGAAATGCCGTTCTCAAAGTTTTGGTCGCTACATCTACCCTGTCTTCAGGTTGTATAGATTGTATGAAAAATGATCATGTATAGGGATGCGTATGGATAATATTGCTTACTAGGAACTAGAAAGGATATATGTGGATTGTTAAGAGCATTATCGGATGAGTAATACGAGATGTTGTTGTTATGGATTTGTTTTTGCTGTGATTTATAGCTTAGATCATTAAGTCTGTTCCCAGAATACCGTATTGCCAACGTAGTGTTAGACCATCGATGTAAGATTCTTAGAAATCATTAAGTCCTGTTCCCAGAATACCGTATTGTCAACGTAGTTAGACCATCGACGTAAGATTGTTAGAACTCATTAAGTCCTGTTCCCAGAATACCGTATTGCCAACGTAGTTAGACCATCGATGTAAGATTGTTGGAAATCATTAAGTCCTGTTCCCAGAATACCGTATTGCCAACGTAGTTAGACCATCGATGTAAAATAGTTAGAAATCATTAAGTCCTGTTCCCAGAATACTGTATTCCCAACGTAGTTAGACCATCGATGTAAAATAGTTAGAAATCATTAAGCCCTGTTCTCAGAATACTGTATTGCCAACGTAGTTAGACCATCGACGTAAGATTGTTAGAACTCATTAAGTCCTGTTCCCAGAATACCGTATTGCCAACGTAGTTAGACCATCGATATAAGATTGTTAGAAATCATTAAGTCCTGTTCCCAGAATACCGTATTGCCAACGTAGTTAGACCATCGATGTAAGATTGTTAGAAATCTTTAAGTCGTGTTCCCAGAATACCGTATTGCCAACGTAGTTAGACCATCGATGTAAGGTTTTTAGAAATCATTAAGTCCTGTTCCCAGAATACTGTATTCCCAACGTAGTTAGACCATCGATGTAAGATTGTTAGAAATCATTAAGTCCTGTTCCCAGAATACCGTATTGTCAACGTAGTTAGACCATCGACGTAAGATTGTTCGAACTCATTAAGTCCTGTTCCCAGAATACCGTATTGCCAACGTAGTTAGACCATCGATGTAAGATTGTTGGAAATCATTAAGTCCTGTTCCCAGAATACCGTATTGCCAACGTAGTTAGACCATCGATGTAAAATAGTTAGAAATCATTAAGTCCTGTTCCCAGAATACTGTATTGCCAACGTAGTTAGACCATCGATATAAGATTGTTAGAAATCATTAAGTCCTGTTCCCAGAATACCGTATTGCCAACGTAGTTAGACCATCGATGTAAGATTGTTAGAAATCTTTAAGTCGTGTTCCCAGAATACCGTATTGCCAACGTAGTTAGACCATCGATGTAAGGTTTTTAGAAATCATTAAGTCCTGTTCCCAGAATACTGTATTCCCAACGTAGTTAGACCATCGATGTAAAATAGTTAGAAATCATTAAGTCCTGTTCCCAGAATACTGTATTGCCAACGTAGTTAGACCATCGATGTAAAATAGTTAGAAATCATAAAGTCCTGTTCCCAGAATACTGTATTGCCAACGTAGTTTGACCATCGATGTAAGATTGTTAGAAATTATTAAGCCCTGTTCCCAGAATACCGTATATCAAACGTAGTTTGACCATCGATGTAAGATTGTTAGAAATCATTAAGTCATATTCCTAGAATACTGTATTGCCAACGTAGTTAGACCATCAATGTAAGATTTTTAGAACGCAGTTGTTTCATGTGAGAATAAATTAGATGATGTTTGAGGATATTGCAGTTGATTGCTGTGCAGTTTATTTGTAATTTCACTTTGGAAGTTTGTAGTTGCACTGTAGAAAAGCTGTACTTGCACTGTAAAGAAGTGTAAATTCATCGTAAACTGAAAAACAGTGAAAGCCAAAGGATTAAGCTCCATATATATATTAAGGTACGAATGGTAGCGACAATACATATTATAGATTTAAAATTGAAGCCTAAGTCCTCGTCTATTACGCGATCCGTACGTCAGTTCCAGTCCTTCAACGTCAGTTGATTTGAATATATGGAGTTTACTTGGTTGGAATTGTGGGCCATCTTTTTCTCGTCATTGAAATCTGAAATTCTCATCTTCAAATTGTCAACTTCTCAACAAACTACCGTTGTGAATATCATTGTAGGGATTTGATCTGTTATGCAAGTAGCTTTGAAAGTTTCACCTGTGATGTGTAAATATTACAAATGTAAATATGTGTAGCACCAACATAGGAGTAATAGTTTAAATAGATTTTGTACTGTTATATACATAATAAGCAACTTCCAATATTTCGTCATATAGCGCGAAGCACGCGTTGCATTTTGGTCTTAGTATAGTCACTCACATGAAAACATTGCAATATGAGCAAGAGCGAAAGTTAGTTTACTGCTGTTCTTAGTTACGTTTATGAGGCAAGAAGTGCAACTGAAGAACAAAGCTCTTTTAAAAACTCTTGCCTGGGTCTGCGGGAGACTTCTAGCTCAGAAAGTCGCGACGAATCCGCGCTAGACGATGTACCGTCAACAAAAAGAAAATGGGTGCAGGTGGGTTTATATGTTGTGTACCCATAGGCGGCCCAGAAATCTGTTTTACTCTTTAGGCTTTATATGCAATCGATTTAAATAGTAAATATATTCTTCATTCACATACGATGTTTATCACGCACACTATCTCGCGTGACTTCCACGCTTATATGTTCTAAACAGATATATATTTTGATAACATAGAAAACTCTCAAATCAAAATTACCGACCGTTAACACCACACATTCACAAAAATGTAAATATCTTATAAATACATAGTAAAACACGGAAAACAAATACATCTCATAAATAACGAATAATTTTACTGAATTTTTTCAGTTTTTTAACGCTCAAATGTATTTCTATGCATGTGAAAAACACGAATGTTTTTAGAGTTTGGGGCAAATATTTTGCAAAACCTATGCTGAGGACACTCACCTTGTGATTCGTCATATTTTTAAATGTTCAAACGCACTGCAGATTGGCTGAATTTATGTGAAAATAATTGAAAAAAACTGTAGCCAATCTAAATGTATGCAATAACAATTTTAACCAATCTGCATAGCGTTTGAGCATTAAAAAGTATGACGATCACAATGTGAGTGTTCCCGGCATAGGTTTTGCAAAATGTTTGCCATAAACCCCATAAACACTGCAAAAATATAGTAAAATTATTCCTTATTTATGAGATGTATTTCTGATATTTTCGTGTTTTAATATATATTTATAAGATATTTTCAGTTTTGTGAATGTGTTGTGTTAACGGTTGATAATTTTTGTTGATAGTGTCCTACGTTGTCAAAATATAAGTCTGTTTAGACCATACAAACGTGGAAGTCACGCGAGATAGCGTGCGTGATAAACATCGCATATGAATCAAGAATGTATTTACTATTTAAATCCATTGCATATAAAGCCTAAAGAGTGAAACAGACTTCTGGGCTACCTATGGTATACGTGGTTGCTTTCCAAACGACGAAAGAAACTCTGAGCTCTCTTTTTACAATCTCTCCGGAGGTCAAAGTAAGGAGTCTACATCTTCGAAAGAAATGGTAGTTTCGATGTAATGTTAAAATATTGAATATCTAGATATTTGAAAATTTTAGGCGTCCTAGAATTATACGTTGTAAACAGCATAAATCTCTAATTCTGACAAACCAATAACTATTGAAAATGCGTGCCTTCGATGACCCACATGTTTGCTACTGTTCTTATAAATTTCTAGGGCTTACAAAAATAATAAATGGACTCATACACTTATATAGCTGGCCCTGGTTCACTGCTGAAATGTGCGATTAATTGCAGCAAATCAATTCTTTGAATCAGTATTGATAATTCTTTAAGAAAAGAGCAGGAAGCAGTAAATTAGAAGCTTCCAAAGAAGATCGGAAATGGAACCTCTTCAAATAGTAAAAATTCAAAAGTAGTGAGATCGTGGTAATTGTGAAGCAATTGCAAAAAATCAATGGAGATTGCCTTAACTGCTAGCGAATTTTGTCAAGTTCAATTGATGTACTATATATTTGAGAAGTAGCTATAACTTGCGAGTTGAAAAAGTTCAAAATATCAACAACAGTATTATGTATCATTATTTTCTTTGACACGATATAACAGATGAGTTTAAGCATGCAATATATACATAAGAATGTTACAAAAATACTATTGAATTTTTAATGATTCCCAACAAAGGTTTCGTCTAAACATAAAAACGTTAAAATAAATATTAACAATGAAGCTTTACCATACATGGTATGTCCTGTAGGCATGTTTGCTCTGCATGTGCTGAGAAAGCAGTCAAACGTTAAATATCGCTAAACACAAATACCGATAACTGTACACTTATAAATAATTGTATAAGAGAGTTTAATGTCCGAAAAATACTTCAACGGCTGCTCTCATAGTACTTTCAACGCAAATTTTGCTTTTGTTTTCTTTCTTCAACTTGTGATTTGCTCCCATGATTGATAATAATATATTCTTAAATGATTCGTGACGCGTCTTGCTGGTATTGACTATCGTTTCATCACACAAGTCAATGATCGTTTAAATTAACAGTAAAGCAGTGAAAATGAGTTCAGATGTAGAGGAAATTACTCCTCTCACAGCCTTAACATCTGTTCCTAAGAAACGAGGGAAGAGAGCAAGAAAGGTATCCGGTGTAATATTTTTGGTTACTGCTTCACTGGTGTTGACATTTGGTTTCATTAGACGTAATGAGGATGAGTTTGAGCGTGCTTCTTGCAGCAATAAGCGAAACTCGACAAGAGAATGCTTCAAAAAGAAAGAAATTCTAACGTTCCCAAATATATTTGGAACCGCACTAAGTTTGTTTGGCGTCGTTCTTGGAACATTAGTTGATCGTCTTTCGCTCATCGGTGAAGAATACAGACATAGGGAACAACGTTATGACGGAAGTTGGAAAAAGATGTTCAAAGCTTGTTTTAGTGGAATACATTGGAGGCCTGTATTTCTTCTTATAATGCTGGCTGCTATAACCCTCAGCATTCTAATAATTGTCCGAGAAAAGGCTGGTAAGCCCGGGTTTGAGATTCAGCATCTTGTGTATATCTTGAGTGGAGTAGGTGTTGGTCCTTTGGTGATGCAATTACTTAATCTGAACACGCAATCTGAAATTCATATTTCATCAATTCTTGAAGAAAATGAAACAAACATCGCAAACGTACTAGCCTGGCACTATTACTTCAACTATCTTGAAAAACTACTGCGAGTCTACAAGGAAGCTGCACATTCAGCAAATTTAGGGAGCTCAAAGTTAGTATTACTCATACCACTTAAATGCAACAATATAGATGATTTCATAAAGATTGTTGATACAATAGTTTCTGATGATTCATTTAATTCCTTAGCAATTGACAGAGATAATTTTTCATTTGAAATTCAATTGTATATCTTGGGCAACAGTGAGTACCGAGTTGCTATAGAATGCGTAAAAGAGCCTTTAAATACTTTAATAAGAATGCAAGACAAGACTCCATTCTTAACAAAAGAAAATCGAAAAGACCACGTTAAGTTATTTTATCGTACGTTATGTGAAATTTTGTTTGAATACTTCGAGAAAGAGGATTACAAGGAAGTGTGCAAATTGATAGCTGTCGATTATGAAAACTTAGATGACTTAAAGAATGGAGGTTTATTGAAATGTATTATTCATAGTGTTAACATGGAATGCGATAAAGGTAAAACGTTTTTTGTTACGCCAGAGATGAAGAGTCCTGATTCAACAGATAGCATGCAATCTCGGGAAATGAAAAAACTTCCAGTGTCTCAAGTATGAGAAGATAATAGTTGTATGGTACAAGAAAGTAGTGTTAATTAATTTTCAACGTATGCATTCACAAAACAAACTTTTGTCCGATTTTTCTCCATAAAGAACTCGCTCTCGCCTAATAAGACCTTAATAATGTTTATCGTCAATATTTGAATGTAGTCAAAAACAGCAAAACGTAATCTATCATTTGAATGTTTTATGCAGTGCGGTGTTTGAAATTAAATGAAGATATGATCTTCGCACTTTGTTGGACAATTTAAGCAATTGTCTCATTAACCTGAAAAAATCAGGTGACTCAGCGGGATTCGAACCCATGACCTCTGCGGTGCCGGTGCAGTGCTCTGACCAACTGAGCTATGAAGTCACACAGTACCAACTGAGCTATGAAGTCACACAATACCAACTGAGCTATGAAGTCACACAGTTGGTCGGAGCTCATAGCTAAGTTGGTCAGAGCACTGCACCGGCACCGCAGAGGACATGGGTTCAAATCCCATTGAGTCACCTGATTTTTTCAGGTTAATGAGACAATTGCTTAAATTGTCCAACAAAGTGCGAAGATCATATCTTCATTTAATAATCTATCATTAGTATTTAATTCAGACTGAAGCACGTTGCACAAATGAATATTGAAGTCAATGAAAGGTGTCCATTAGTTTGTGATCCTCTACACTGTAATGAGTTGGTTTTTTTCAGTTTTTGTTTCTTACAAGAAGGCTGTCGTGTAAAGCTTGACATTTGAAGCAAACATTAGCAGGTTAAATTTTGCTTCAGATTTTTTCAAAAATATTTTTAGCTTTGAAGAACCTTTCTCTGGCAAAAGAACATCCTCAGGGGTTAAAAATTTCTTGATGAACTTTGAATTGCATTTTAGAATGTGTGTAAGAAATATGGAAAGCCAAAATTGTCTGTTGCAAAAATTGCAAAAATGAAACGTTAATCTTCTTTAGTTTGAAGCCCTATCTCCCGTGTATAATTATTGTTTGGTTGAATAGCTACTTCATTTAATGCTATGGAATAAACTTGAGATGTTTTTCCTCTGAGTATGCCAAAAAAGTTTTTATAAAATCAGCTACTCACACTGTTAATTTTGAAGTGCTAAATGTACAATTTCTAAAGCAATACCTAACTGATTATATAAGAAATATAAACTGATTTGGGCCGCCTATGTTCATACTGTTAAAAACTGGTTAAATTAAGCACTGCAATGTGTGTCTCGTCGAGAAACGTTTTATCAAAAAAAGTTTTCAATTTAAGATTCACTGCACTTAGCTGACAAAAATATTCACCCACCTAATGAAGTAAGCCATGAAGATAAACTATACACAGACCTGTATATCTTCGAGCGTATAAATGACACTATTTATTACAATTGATGTTATTTTAATCCTATATGGTCTACAAGTAAGTTCGTGCTATTTTAAACTCTCAAATTAATTCCTAATGTACAGTACGTCTTATTTTAACACCACCACTAAAAAAAAGACTCAAAAATGGTGTCATTCTGTACCTTTTTGTTTAGCACTATTTTTTCGTTGTAAACTAGAGAAACCAGGTCCACTTATGTTTGATGGTCTCGATTATGTATCAGTGTAGCAAATCCAGGAAGGTCATCAAACGCTCCACTTTTATCATCGTATGTATTTTCAACACTATCTATAATACATTTGGCAAGACCTCCATTCTTTATCCAAGTTTTCGTAATCAATACACACAAACATGCACTTTTCTTGGGAGTTCGAGTCCAGTCGGTCTTTGAGTATTTTGAGAAACGTATGATAAAATATTTTAACTTGTTTCGGACTTAAACTGTTGCACTACGCGAAAACATCTCTCTTAATGTGTTAATTAAAGTCCTTTGAATTTGAGAAAAAGTTATTATTACTCTTACCACTTAACTTTAATACAGAAGATGATAAGATTGTTAAAGTCGGAAACAGGCAGAAATGGCGTCGAATTTCGATTTGATATATATGACTTAACGGTTGGCAATAAGAAACTTCGATTTGCAATACAGTACGTTAAAGAGCCCTTGAATGCTTTAAAATCAATGTGCCTGATGAAGGACGGTCAAGCGGTGACACATGACAATCTAAACGAGCAAGTAAAATTATTTCAACGTACCTTGTTTGACATATTCAATCATCAACTCAAAAAAGTGTATAAAGAAGCCTGCTTATTTGTGTCATTTGATTACAAAGAACTGGAGTTTTTGAAGAATGGAGGCTTGACTAAAGTTATTATTCATGGTGTTGAAAATTCTCATGACGAAGGTGACAAGATTGATGGCGTTCCTGCGTTTTTTAAGCTCGAGAGACCTAAACAAACCGATAACGGAGGCAAAAGCTCAAAGAAGAAGAAAAGAGACTCGGATGTTTCGATTTCATCAAGCAAAAATAAAACAACACTTAGAAATAGAAAAGATTCAAATTTAAGTGAAATAGTCATTGTATCTGATCTTGATGGAGGTGATGTTGGGCAGTCAACGAAACATGGAGTAGAGAATAGTGACGCCTAATTTTTTAATTTTTCAGGGATTGTACAGCAAAGGGGCTGGAGGACATACCATTAATTTACTATACCCCTGACAGTGATTTAAGGGCATCTTAAATATTTTTTTGCTCCCAGACCCTAACAGCCTCCCCAAATATGCTTCATGCTTCCCGGCCACGTGTTTTATATCATAGAATTACAACTTTCTGGTTGTATGGGCGTCGTTTGTTTCAATAATACTTGTGTTGCAAATATAACACTTATTTAATTATATAATAGTTCATATTATATAGTATAAACAGAGAATGTGGCGGCTTCTCCGTAAGATTGTAAAAGGATCAGTTCACCTTCATTCACAGATAGAAACTTTCGATTATTATATGTGCTAACTGTATGCATGCGTAATTAAACATGAAAAAAATGTGAACAATTTTCGTTTACCTCAATACATATAAATATAAAGACTTGTTATTTGCTATTTTTCTCTGATATTTGTCTTTAAGGTATGATTTAAGTAAATGCGTTTCGACCTTTTTGGTTTTCTATTGTTACATTCTTTAGGTGTTTTCTTTAAAAAGTCGACTAATTGCCAAGAAAAAAGAGTTTGGTTATTGGATACATTGAAAAGCTCGTTTTGGACTTGTAAGTTCCTTTTCATTGAATCGCAGCGTCATAAAGAATGTTGTCCTTCTCGGAATATATTTTTGCTAATATAATGATAGCCATGCTTGAAAACTTCCACTCAAAGCTTCCACTTGAAAAAATGAAGATCATGAAGAAAAACAAGCATTAAAGTGACGAAGATTTATAGCTGTAGTCTTTTAATATCAAATACTTTTAATATCAAATTAATTTTCTTTATCATATCGATGGTTGTTCTTAACAGAGCCCTCTAGTTCTCTGATTCTTTATGGTATGAACTTCAAGCTATTCTCCATGTCTTTAACTGCTAGTCAAGTGAAATGCACTCGCTCAGATGATTCTCCCATTAGTGATAGAACAAGTTAGTTAATCCGAGATCAGTGTAATTTAATGCAATTGGCAGTTGGTCGTTGTGATGATTTCGTACCAAAACTCACGCTCTCTCATGCTTATTTAGTCACATATTGACGTTTGGTTTGTCTTCTTCAGCATGATAAATTGTCAAACTTTCTTCTTCATTAAACATTGCTGCCCAGGCATGCTCCCTCCTGCCTGACCTAACCTTGAATACCCCGATGGTCCCATCCTGCGCGAAAGCAAATTAGATAAGTACTATACAGTCAAACACTGCAACCATGGGCACTAACGTTGTATAAATAATAAATGCTCTGTATTATCTATGGTTGACTCTAGGCCAAGGCACGTGGCCAAAGCTACTTTCGTGTACGCGCTGTATTGAACACAAATAGTCTGGCAACGAAGTAACCACAAGTAACTGACCAATGAGAACGAAGTATTTTAATTACTTGTTGGGAATTTATCAATTTAGTGTGAATTTACAATTTACACTAACGGCGCATGTTTTCTTTAGGAGGAGATGTAGTAATTCAAATGATCTCCAATGTGTTTGCCTTCTCGAAATATAAAAACCTATACTTACATTTTGAAATTGTTTGATGATGAAAAAACTGTCTCAGACATGGCGACAACGTGCCAAATTTGTCGAAAAAACACCTTCAAATATAAAACGTACAAAACACGACGGTGAGTCATTTCAAAATCATGAAGTAGTCACGTAGCTTGTGTTGATATTTGTTGTTTGAATTCATTTGTCTGTGTATGTATTGATTTTCCAACAACCACTGCTGCCATTTAATCTATTTAGTACATCCACTATTTGTACATGTCCTTTTAATGTACATCATATTCAAATGATTGTATATTTTGCAACAAGTTTATTGTCTTAAACAACTCAATGCTTTTGACTTTTAAAACAATGTAATGCTTTTATGTAATACCATTTCTTGACTTTTTGCATTTAGGTCAGAGACTGGCTTTTCCTTCTGCTCTTGATGGTAATTCCACATCATGTAACAATGATATGCCAGTTGATGATAAAATAGATCAAATGGTCTCTACTTGTGATGAAAAGGTGATTGCTACTGATTGTCTATATTTTTGATGATTTTTATGACCTCTCATGGTTTTTATTAACCCAGATATTCCTGATAAGCAACTTTAAATCTAAAAATCATGCAAAGTAATTTTTATTTTAATGTTTCTTGGCATTTTGTCTTTTTATTTTGGGAAAGGAGGATGCAATTGTTTAATGCATTGTCTCTCAGTAACAGTGAAAATTAAGGCTGAAGATATGAATGACAATTTAAGTCATGAATTGTTATAAAAGTGAAGTCATCTAGCTTTGTGTATTGCAGTTTTTCCTATTGACCACATTTAGTGCATTGAAAGTCACTACACTAAATGTATGTCACATTTAATGAATTACTGTAACTGCATAAAAGCACTATTGGTTATGCACATTTAATAAATATGATAAGTTTCTTTAAAAGAAACATGTTTTAAAATCTCAAGATGCCATCTTCAATATAAGTGAGAATATTATGTATATAGTAAATATAAAGTAGTAATGAAAGAATGTTTTATGCAGTGCGGTGTTTGAAATTAAATGAAGATATGATCTTCGCACTTTGTTGGACAATTTAATCAATTGTCTCATGAACCTGAAAAATTCAGGTGACTCAACGGGATTCAAACCCATGACCTTTGCGGGGCAGTGCTTTGACCAACTGAGCTATGAAGTCACACAGTGGTGAGCAGGTCAATTTTGTTGAGCTCATGTTTTCTCGTGAAAGGAATGTCATATGAAAGAATAAAGTGATGGTTTATACAGCATTTTAGTTTTCAACCTCTATCTGCCATTGTATGTTGCCCTTACCAGCACAAAATAGGCAATGGCATATAACGTTCAATAGAAAAAGGATCCATAACTTAACAGAATCAATTATTTTTCAATAGTTGGTGGAAATATCTCATGAAAACTCAACTCGATGCAGCCTTCTCTTCAATTCATTTGCTCTTGATTCACAAGCTCTGTTTGCTGTTGATGAAATGGAACAAGAACATATGAAATGTGTTTCAAAAACTTTGGATATTGCTAGTCTGTCCCCAATTATCCCTGATAAACCTCTTCCAACAAATTTATCTGGTGTAGTTATGGATAATAATGATAAGCTAGGTACAACTGCTGATAGAATTGATCAAATTTATAAATGTGGTGATCAAAATAAATTCATTAGTACACCAAATGATAAATTTTTTGAAGAAGGTACATCTGGGGATAAGTGGGGTAAGACCAGTACATCCAGGGTCAAAGAAACAATAGGAATGACCAAAGGTGACACAATTGGTATGTCAAATAAAGAAGATGGATTAAAATCAAATATTGGTGTATGTGATGCAAAGACTTCAAAGTTTGATGATGAAGAAACATGCAACTCCACTCCATCCATGAACTTACATGAAAGCCCAAAAACAAATCAAAATTTTAAAATGGATGGTGGCATTAATGATAGAAGTTCTAGTTGCATAAACTCTCAAGGCAGTACAACACAGGATTCCACAGGTCATTGCCTTACTCAAGATCAATGTACCCTGTCGTCATGGGGATTGCCTGCTAGCATCTTGGAACAATATGACAAGATCGGCATCAAAACTATGTTTGAATGGCAGGCTCAGTGTCTCTGCACTGGGAATGTCTTAAATGGAGGTATGACTTGAGATATTATAGTGGGGTTGCAGTTAGCATGTTTAAATTGAAATGGTGGTTTGGCTTTAAAAGTAAATTATTTCAATTTTCAATGGTCTATTTCCATGCACATTCTTGCAAATCGTAAATTATAACATACATTTTTGTGTCTTGCAGGAAACCTTGTGTACTCTGCCCCAACAAGTGCTGGGAAGACGATGGTCGCCGAGATTTTAATGTTAAAGCGTATCTTAGAAACAAAATGCAAGGCTTTGTTGATCTTACCATTTGTTAGTGTTGCTCGTGAAAAGATGTTTTACATGAAGGTATTATGACTCTGTCTTTCATTTTCTCTGTATAATGACAGTCATTAGTGCTGTGAACCGGAGTTAAACCGCAGCTCCCGCCATTTTTGCCTGCCGGAGCCTGGCGTTTGTTCATCTCCGGCAAAACTCCGACAGCAGTTATTTGTGCTCCAAATTACTGTCAGATTTCGATAAACGTGTCCGATAAAAACATTTTTGTGTCAACGAACAATAATTATCGGTTAAAATTGAAAAACTTACATGAAAATAAAACGTTTTATACCTGACACAACATGATGCTAGATACCGTTCACACATGCTAATTTATGATTGAAAATCGGATTGCGTAAAGTCAACTTCACTTATGAAAATTTTACTAGTAATATACCTTAAACTGTTAAACAGTCACTTGCAAAATCAACCGGCCACATTCAGACATTTGAGTTATAAAATAGCCGTTGCCGGAGTTTGAAGCCGGAGTTCAGAATTGACAAGAGGCAGGAGCCGGAGCTAAAAAACCGGAGTTTGCACAGCACTACCATTGATAAAGTCAGTGAGGGGGGGAGGGGTGTGAAATATTTGAGGGAGGAAACATTGCCTACCCCTCACCTGCGTCCCGTCAGCAGGCTAACACGTCAGGGTGTAATAAAGGCCAATGATTATAACCACACTAAGTATTTTCTTATGCAGCGATACATCCCTAAAATATCCCAGTAAAACAGTTGGCTTGAACAATTCGCTAGTAATGCTTACTTAACCAATAACAATTTAGCGTATGTTTGGTGGGTGTGATTTGACGATTGATGGCTATATGGGTAGTCAGGTGCCAAGTAAAGGCTTTGACTCCGTTGACATCGCTGTATGTACAATTGAGAAAGCAAATGGTCTTGTAAATCGTCTAATGGAGTCTGGACAGCTTCATTTGCTTGGTGTCATTGTGGTGGATGAAATTCATTTGATAGGTGATCCATCTCGAGGTTATCTCCTGGAGTTACTTCTCACGAAGGTTCTTTACGTCACGCAAAGCATTATGGGTACGTACCTAGTCGATGATTCTGTCTGAAGGGGAAAGGGGGAATTAGTTTTAGTGCGTTAACTGGTGGTGCTTTGATTCAATTTTAATCCAGGTGGATTAACTGTTGCTTTGATTCAGTTACTAATCCAGCTGGTTACTAATCCACTTATAAAGCTATATTATCTTAAGAGTGGTAATGTCTTCTGACATTGTCTGCTTTGAATATTTCTCTTTGCACTACTTCAACCTGACCACTGTTGAAATTTAAACCAGATTCCACAGGCAACAGTGGCGGACACTTGGGGGGGGGAGGGGGAACTGATTTAAAATCTTGCGTAAAATCCCTCAAATCACACCTACGTAACATAAGTGTGATATTAAATAATAACCATTTGATAGACTTCTGTACTGCACACATACCAGCAGACGCATTGAACCGCGTGCGTGTAGGATTGTGTGTACGTAGGAATCACTAAAGTAAATTTCTGGAGATAAAATTTTAAAATTATACCTTTAGGCATGCCCTGAAATCTCCCAGAATTCTCATGCCTTGAGGACGAACCACCCCCCTCCCCAATATTTCATAAAATGTCCCCCGCTGACTGGCAACATTTCAAATTTTTAGATCACAATGTCCAAATCATTTGTATGAGCGCCACTTTGCCTAATCTTAACACTCTTGCCACGTGGCTCAAAGCTGATCTATATTATACGGACTATCGTCCTGTACCTCTGACGGAATATTTTAAGGTCGGTACAGTTATATACGATAGGTCAGGCAACGTGTCACGTGAGTTGGACAAGTCACAGCTGATCGACGGTGATGAAGAACACGTGTTATTGTTGTGTCAAGAGACCGTTGTTCATGGTAACGGCGTGTTGATATTTTGCCCAACAAAGTCCTGGTGCGAGAAATTAGCGGTAGTAATTGCAAAGCATTTTAACAAATTACTCGGTACAGCGGAACACGACCAAAAGGAGAGCCCACTGTACACAGGAATCTTGGATATTGACGCTTTGAAGGATGTGTTTGAGCAGCTTCGTAGTTGTCAAGTTGGCCTTGATGGTGTACTCAAGAAAACATTGCGTTATGGCGTTGCTTATCATCATGCAGGCTTGACTTACGATGAAAGAGACGTCATTGAAGCCGCTTTTAGAAATGGCGTTCTCAAAGTTTTGGTCGCTACATCTACCCTGTCTTCAGGTTGTATAGATTGTATGAAAATTGATCATGTATAGGGATGCGTATGGATAATATTGCTTACTAGGAACTAGAAAGGATATACGTGGATTGTTAAGAGCATTATCGGATGAGTAATACGAGATGTTGTTGTTATGGATTTGTTTTTGCTGTGGTTTATAGTTTAGATCATTAAGTCCTGTTCCCAGAATACCGTATTGCCAACGTAGTTAGACCATCGATGTAAGATTGTTAGAAATCATTAAGTCCTGTTCCCAGAATACCGTTTTGCCAACGTAGTTAGAACATCGATGTAAGATTGTTAGAACGCAGTTGTTTCATCTGAGAATAAATTGGATGATGTTTGAGGATATTGAATGAAATTTAAATTTTGTCAAACCTTCCATTCAACACTATTCGACATGCGCTAAATAATTTGGAATCGTTAAACGAGCCTTGTTGGTTACCTTAATAATATTTGATGATTGACTAGAAATATTAAAGAGTGTGTTGTTACATATTGAGGATACAAACAAGAAAGATTATATACTTTGAAGATGAAACATTTCTTTTTTTCTTCTTGTAGGTGTAAATCTTCCCGCACGACGTGTGATCATCAGAACTCCGATGTTTTACGGCAAACTTCTAGATTCTCTTGTTTATAAACAAATGTCGGGTCGAGCCGGACGGAAAGGCGTTGACTCCATGGGTGAAAGTATTCTTTTGTGTAAAGCAAACGAACGAAAGAAAGCTTTAAGTTTATTTGAAGATGGATTAAAACCTGTAAAGAGTTGTCTTGTTGGTGAGTATCTTTATTACTGCATAATCAGTTTTCGTCTTTGTTGTGTAAACTATGTTACTTTTTCTACATTTGAGAGCAACATGGTTTATCTTAATCGGTATCTTAAATCCTATGAGCTTTCTTTGAGGTCTCTTAAAGCTCTGTTTTTCTTTTTTAAGTTTTCTTAAAACTTTCTTAGTAAAGCTCTATTTAAGTTTTTTAAGGTCTTGTAAAATTCTCTTAAACTCCTCTCAAAGCTTTCTTAAAATCTTAAAACTCTCTTAAGCTCTATTTACGCCTTTTTCAAATTTTGTAAACATTCTCTTAAGTTGAACGTCTCCTAAAACATTAAAACTCCCTTAAAGCTTCATCTTCAAAAACTGATAAAGGTTGAAGATAGTTAATGTCTTACATGAAGTCTCCCTATAAAACATTTTAGTTAAGCGAAGTGATGAGGACGAAGGTAACGGCATCAAACGAGCTTTGCTCGAGGTCATAGCGAGCAGTGTTGCCGTTACTCCGACTGATGTTCAGAGATACGCCTCTTGCACGTTGTATGTATCGAGTAAAACGCAAGAGGATGGTGAAAACACTCAAACTATCATCAAAAACACGGTGGATTATCTAGTCAAGAACGAATTTATTTATCTGAGAAACAAAGAATCCACGGAAGATGAATATGTACCGACACAACTGGGTCAAGCAACATTGGCGTCTTCATTATCTCCTGATGAAGCTTTAGTGGTTTTTACCGATCTATTGAAAGCTCGTAAATGTTTTGTTCTTGAAAATGAACTTCATATTCTTTATCAGGTGAAAATAATGTCATATGCTAATGCTTTACGTTATATCTATCTCAATAACACATCTTTTATATGCCATATTTCATATCTTGTATTTTATATGTAAGGGGTTGTTCACATGAGCCCGGTAACCGGGATTCAGCGAGGCCTGAAATGAATTTGAGTCATTGAAAGGAGTAAAAACTTTAAGCGCGAAACTTACAACCTTTTTGTAAGCGTCATAAGTCATTTTAGTCGTAATTTTAAAACCAAGCTAAATTAATTGTTTTCATTTTAAAGGTTTTGTGAATTTGCAAAGTCAGAGTATAAAGAAATTGCTCAAATAATTTTTTTGTTATGAAGTAATTAATCTTTTCCATTTGCAAAAATGATTTAACGCTTTGCTGAATCCCGGCCACTGGGTTCATGTGAACAGCCCCTATTATATGTTATACATAAAATGTTATATGTTATTGTAGGTTTTATATAATATGATGGTATTTTCTAGGTCACTCCAATATATGTGCAAGATCAGTGGCCTAATCTAGACTGGTATCAATATCTTCAACACTGGGAAAGATTACCATCACATATGAAACGTGTCGCTGATTTGGTTGGTATTGAAGAACGTTTTCTCAGCAAAGCCATTCGTAGCCAACCTTCAACACGGACTCATCAACAACGACAAATTCTTCGTCTACATAAGCGTTTCTACGTCACATTGGCGTTGCATGATCTCATCCATGAAGTGGCGCTGGATGTGGTCGCCCGCAGGTAGAGCATAGGCTTGAGACAAGTTTGTAAGTTTGCCATTCAGCTAGTGTCAATCTTTTCACACACGGACATGAAGAAAATGTTCACTACTACAATACTATAAAAAAATGTGGAACTTGACATCTATATATAGGTATCTGGTGGTAAAATTTTACTTCATGCGATTTCAGGCATGTTTAGCTAAAGAATGCATTCCAGTTATATATCTATTTTAATTGTCCTGCAATACCGGCCGCCATTTTAGTTTTTAACTCCTTCATAATGACGTCAGTAAACTGTGACGTCATGTGTAACCACATCTTGGTTCATCCCTAAAGAGTTCGATGATTTTTATTTTAGATATGGTGCAAGTCGTGGAATGCTTCAATCACTTCAAAGTTCTGCTGCTACTTTTTCTGGTATGGTCACAATATTTTGTCATAAATTGGGATGGAGAAATCTTGAGATGCTTTTGTCGCAGTTTCAAAACCGTTTAACGTTTGGGGTCGAACAGGAGCTTTGTGACTTGGTTCGAGTTTCAACGTTGAACGCTTTTCGCGCGAGGATTATGTATGGCGCAGGATATCACACGATTGCCTCTCTAGCGGCTGCCAAACCTGCTGAAATTGAACGTCTTCTACGTAATGCTACCCCGTTTCAGAGCAACAAGAAGGCTGATGGGGAGTCTGAACGAGAGTTGCGTCGACGCATGCGTGCTAAGTGTGTATGGGTCAATGGAGGAAGAGCGCTGACCGAGTTGCAGGCGGCTCAAGAGATTGTAAGAGAGGCTTGTGTACTTCTTGATGAAGACGCGAAAAAGTTGGGAATGGGTTTGAAACTGGCGAAGACTTGGGAAGTTGGCGAAAAAGCTATTAACGACATGGATGAAGATAGCAGAAGTAAAGAAAGAGTTACTTGTGCAGAAGAAATTTTATTGGGTAAAACTGTTGAATGTAGCAAAAATTCGGAGTCTGGTGAGGTAGGTCGTAGTGAAGGTGAGATCCTGGGGAATACGAAGTATGGCACTAGAGCAGATCTTGTTTCAAGGGGAAATCAATACCAAGAAATCATGTATACAACTAAAACTACTTCATGTGGTCAAGACCAAGGAATCACGTGTACAACTAAAACGACTTCACGTTGTCAAGATGAAGAAATCACGTTTACAACTAAAACTGTCGATTCTCCATCTAATGGAAGCCCGGTTGAAGAAAGAAACACTGGATATCTTCTAAATTCAATAAAAGAAAATAAGGTTTGTTATAATGTTGTTCGTGATAACCAAAGAATAATTGAAGGAGAGCAGGAGAAAGGGCAGTGTTGTTTAGTAAATAATGAAATCGAAAAAGGAGACACACAAAAGACCCAAAAAGATGTTCCAGTTATCCTACATGATGAAAACTGTGACAATAAACTAAAAATAATCAAAGAAAAGACATATGCACTTGATAACTCAAACCTACAAGAAGCAAAAGTTCAATTCTGTGCTGCGTTTGAGAACCAAAAAGAACCAAATTTCGATAATACTAATGCCAAGGTAAAATCAAATGTTCGTGAGTATAAATCAGGAAAGCCATCAAAGGTTCGTCAAACTCCTAAAAGAAGAAGAGACAGTCGTTTAAAACGTAGACATTCCATGAGCAAAAGCCCTCCTGATAAAAATGGACCGAAAATAAAAGTTACAGATCCCAAGACGGGTGATTTGTCTTCTAAAAAACAGAGTGAACGCTTTCTAAAAACTCAATCGAAATCAAAATATGGGTTTAAAGATAAACAAGAAAAATTCTATGCCGATTGTTTGGAAAATTTTAATGTTACAGGGCAGGAAACACCGACGAGACGAAAAACTCGGTCTTTTCTTCAATTGCAGCCGTCTCCGTGTAGGGATAAACAGGAGGGAAATAATGCAAGAAACGGTAGAGTTCTTTTCAAAAACTTTCCCAGCGATTGTAAGGGTGATTCGGTTATAAAGTATGTGGATGATAGTTCTTCAAATAACTGGAAAACTGGTAAAAGTAAGATGAAGTCGGTTGATTTATTTGACGAATTTTTTGATGATTCATCGAAATCGAAAAAATGTGATGGTGAATCCACTAAAGATGAATCTGGTCTATGTCAGATGGCGCCATTATCCATAAATATACCTGTAGAAAATAATGTTGAACCAGAACATGTGAGTCCTGCATTAATAACATCAAGTGAACACTATGATTCTATTCCTATTGTATGTCCGACAAAAACGGATTGTGAAATATTTGATTCTAGTCCTGAGCTAAATACTGAAACCATAATTCCAAAATCATCGTTCAATTCATGCCAAGATGTGGTGGAATTTGATCAGTTTTCTGAATCTTTGAGTTTCAATGATCTAAGTGATACCAGCATGCTAGATGTAGATGCCCATTCGCAGGATGACGAGAAACTGCGTAAAGATGCTGTTAGATGTGAAACAAAAAAGAGTTTTGATGGAGTTAGTGAGCCAAAGAAAATATGCGACGAAACAAGACGTGTTTTAAATGAAGGAGAGGGCAGCGATGATCAATTTTTCACGTACAAAGATTTATTAACACCTGGATTGTTTGATTCGGAAATATCGTTTACACAATGCAATCAAGTTATATCGGTAAAGTCTGAGGTTATGCAATCAAACAATAACGAACGTTGCAAGTCTTCCATCGGTTATCACCGTCAGGGTGACTCTATACACGAGGAAAATATCGTTGAAAGTATTTGTAAGCAATCTACTGAGAAAGAAATAAAGCGTTTTAGAGAAAAGAACGTAAGTCATAAGAAAAAAATGATGTTTTCAGAGCAAGTGATGGAGTCTGGAAAATACTGTGTCGAGCCCGCAGAACAATGTCAGTTGTCCGCTGACCGATCTCAATCATCCCCAGACTCTTTCTCTTTGCGGTTGTCTCAAACATTAGACTGCTCTGATGATTCAGATCTAAGTTCAAAGACTCTTGCAGAGTTAGCAGCTCTAGAAGAAAAAGAAATGGTTGGTGGGGATGAACAGGGATGTGCTCAACATTATATTGGGAATGAAGGTAATAGGTGTGAATACAAAACAACACATCAGGAAATTTTGGCTGATCGTAGGGATGATAAATATAAAGAGGAGATTAGTAATGATGGAGATGGACCTCTTGCTAGTAAAGTTTTCACAAGTTTGGCTGAAAAAGGTTGTGTAGAATTAGAATTGTCGGATATTGAGTTGGTGAACAATGAGGGCTCTCTGGAGGCAAAACTTGATGATTTGGGATCTCAGGTGTTTCAAAATGTTTCGAACATAAGCGCGTCGACATTATCTGCAATCGACAAAGAGTTTGAGAAACTCGAAGGGAGAGTTTCTATGGGAAAATTGTCCACTTCATCGCCAGTGGTGACCACTCTATCACCAAAGGTAACCACTCCATTGACAAAGGTGACCACTCCATTGACAAAGGTGACCACTCCATTGACAAAGGTGACCACTCCATTGACAAAGGTGACCACTCCATTATCAGCGTTGACTACCCCATCATCAAAAGAAACAACCAATGAGAAACGGTATACTGGTATCAAGCAACGTCATTGTTCAATAGGATCCTGGGTTGATACGTCTTCGAAGTCTGCAAAAGAAAGATCATGTTTGAAAGATGAGACTTTGAACGAACATTTGTCAGATTTCCCTCTTCATATCGTTGATATTACGAACGAGAAAAAAAATTTTGAAAATTTTTTTCAAGAGTGTAAAACGAAATCGTTCAGTTTCTCGATTGCTGTAGAGAAGAACGTTCAGGGTGGCCATTCTATTGGAAGAAGATTCAACAAAACAGCGATAGTTTCCACGTCTAAACTGAGGCATCGTTTGACAATTGAAGAAGACAATCTTTCTGTTGTTGGAATTGCCGTTTGTCTTCAAAATAGTGATTCAGTGAATTATTTGTCTTTGGACGATCGAAACACACAGAGAGTGGCCTGGAACGAGAGGATAAAATGCTTGCAAGTTATCATGGGATTGCAGTCGGACGAACACGTAAAGATGGCTTTTGATGTTAAGGAAAACTATAAGGTGATTTAATGACTGTTTGTTTTGAGAAATTTGTTTTTTCTTACACATACCCACTGTTTTATTTTAATATGCACCAGCTGTCTGCTTTTTTCTAAAATTAATCCTTCTCGAGATTCAACGAAAATATTTGATCTACTTCTTACTACAAGGGTAAACTAGTGAACCTGACCTAAACTGAACAACGTAGCTGGATTGCTTTATCAAGTTCTGAACTCAGAAACTGAAGAATGTAACTGGATTGCTTTATCAAGTTCTGAACTCAGAAACTGAGACACTTGAAATAATCTTGAATCATGATGATTTCATCAATACAAGATAACTAATTCAAAAAATATCATGGATGCTTACAAGTACTATTGAGAGTCATATCGCTCCTCTCCGATTCCTACATCCCCGAATGATCCCCCTCATCCATTGTTTCTACTTACACTAAGTATTTCTACTGTAATACTCTGTCGATTTCTGTTTTCTTTCTTAGTTGTTCTGTCGTGCATGTGATGTTATCATGAAAGGAAAAGTTGAAGATCCTAAGGTAGCGGCTTGGTTGCTTGATCCTGGAGCAAAGGAAAAAAACTTGTTGCAATTGACACAACGGTTTCTACCAGAGAAAAGGGATTTATCTAAATGTAAATATTGTTCTCTTTAGAACTTTCTATTGGGATTTTTCTATGTTTTTGGACTGTGAATTTTGATGTTTTAGATCTTGACAATCGTTACATGCGAACCCCACGTGAAAGATCATGTGTTCAAGCTACTCTCGTTAAACTACTGATGGATCGCATGCGTCCAGTGCTACAGACGGATGGACTGTGGAATGCTTTTAATACGGTAATTATTAATTAATTACGGATTTTTTTACACATTTCCAGTTTGTTGCCATCTTCTCTTCAACGTAAGAAGGATATTAGGTACATTGATTTCTTATTATAAAAGGCAATAAAAGGCGTGCGGTGATTGGTCTATAGCTGTGTTTGCATCAGCCTGTGCAAAACACATCTGAGCTCAACCAATGAAATCAATCAAAACATTCAATCATTCAGTAAGAATTTGAAAATAGATCATGAAAATATTTTAGAGGATAAATTAAAACCTTTGTTTGAAATTTGTCTGTTCGCATCATTGTTATTTTATAAAAGAAATAAAAGATTTTTTCGTGTTTGCACTGGCTTATGCAAACCTCGGAGACGTTTTTTGAGAACTCTCGAGCATGTGCAACCTTGGACCTTCGGCCTCGTGCTTGCACTGATCTTCTCTTGAGTTCTTCCAAAGGTCTCCTCGGTTTGCTTAAGCCTGTGCAAACATAGTAAACATCTTTTATTTCTTAATTGACCTTTGACATACGTATAAGGAGATCAAATTCATTGATTTTTTAAAGACTCTTTGACTCAATAAAACTTTATACCTCCTAACAAGATATTTTCATCCTAGATTGAAATGCCAGTTATTTTCACCCTTGCACGCATGGAACTGAATGGTTTTGGTTTTTCCAACAACGAATGTAAACAAATTAAAAATGTGTTACGATCAAAACTTCAAACATTGGAAAGGAAAGCCTATCATACCGCTGGCCGACAATTTGCGCTTTCAAGCCCGGAAGATGTATCCCGGGTCTTGTTCTTGGAGCTCAAAATCCCTCCTGGTGGACATACGGAAGATGCTACCTCACCTAATAAACTCGTGCGACCCACGCGTGGAGGCAAACGTCGAAAGGTGAAATATTTCAGTACTTCCAAAGATGTTCTGGAAAAATTATTAAAACTTCATCCTTTACCCAAAATTATTTTGGAATGGAGAAAAGTTAACTCTGCCCTCACGAAGGTCGTGTTTCCTGTAGAAAAAGAGCAGGTTGCATGTGGTCCACCCCTAGGGATGTCTCGATTATTCCCCATCGCTTTGACAAACACCGCCACTGGACGAGTAACCTTTGTAGAACCTAACCTACAGAATGTACCACGTGATTTTGAAATAAACCTATCCACAGATATCCATACCAATAACCCGGATGTACATACCGGCACTTCTGTTGTGAGTGGTTCACCTCACGTGCCGTATTCAGTGAGCCTGCGCAGTGCGTTCATCCCGTTTTCCGGTGCATTGTTATTGGCTGCCGACTATTCACAGCTGGAATTAAGGATATTATCTCATCTGTCCGGGGATGAAAAATTGCTGAGATTGCTAAATACTGGTGGTGATGTCTTCCGAATGATTGCATCAGAGATGTTTCACATCGCTCAGAATGACGTTTCCGACGAGCAACGTCAACGATCGAAGCATGTGTGTTACGGCATTATTTACGGTATTGGAACGAAAGCTTTAGGAGAAGCTCTTCAAGTGGATGAAAAAGAGGCTGGGCTGTTTATGGATGCTTTTAAAGCAAGATTTACTGGTGTTCAGAAATATCTCAAGAACACAGTGAATGAATGTCGAAGATTGGGTTATGTTGTAACGATTTCTGGACGTCGAAGGTACCTTTCTAATATACGATCTTCAAATGCAGCTGTACGATCGCATGCTGAACGTCAAGCTGTTAATACGACGATTCAAGGGTCAGCGGCTGACTTAGTTAAACATGCCATGACTAATATCGACAACCGGTTGTGTAACGTGTTCCCAAATTGCTGGCGGACTCATCGGCACTGTGGTGCTAGTTCCCAGTCTCGTGCGTTGGCTACACAGTCTGGAGCGTACATGGTGTTGCAATTACATGATGAGTTGATGTTTGAGGTAGTTGAACAAGATCTGCTGGCGGTTGCCAATATTGTCAAGAAGGAAATGGAAGCTGCCATGATTCTGTCGGTAAAGTTACCCATCAAAATGAAAAGTGGTAAATCATGGGGCACAATGGTGCCTTATGAATGCCCTAGTAGTAATTAAAGTGGTACAATGGTACCTTTTAAAACCATTGAAAACGATCACAAGTGAATGAAATACCATGATGTCTTTTGAATAACATCACAACTTATTGACGTACAATGGTATTTTTGAAAACCATTACCAGTAATTGAAATACAATGGTACCTTTGAAAACCATCACTAGTGATTCAAATACAATGGTACCCTTTGAATAACCTCACTAGTAGTTGAAATACAATGGTACTTTTTGAATACCATTATTAGTGATTGAAATGCAATGATACCTTTCAAAAACCATTACCAGTGACTGAAATACAATGGTACCTTTTGAATATCATTATTAGTGATTGAAATGCAGTGGTACATTTGAAAGGTATCATTGCATTTCAATCACTAATAATGGTATTCAAAAGGTACCATTCTATTTCAATTACTGGTAATGGTTTTTGAAAAGCCATTACCAGTAATTGAAATACAATGGTACCTTTTGAATATCATTATTAGTGATTGAAATGCAGTGGTACCTTTCAAAAACCATTACAAGTGATTGAAATACAATGGTACTTTTTGAATAACCTTACATACTAGTGTTTAATGAAAATGCCTATGTACCTTTAGTATGTTACATCCGTAACAGAAGTACCATGTATCTTTTGAAACTGGGTGTTGTAAATAAAAATTCAATATTTAAATAATAATAATATGAACTAGAAATTTTGCAAAAGCAAAAAAAAATTTGTAACTATTTAATTTTTTAACTTAACTTATTGGAATCTTTTTAGATTAAAAATAAATTATCAAAATACTAATTATGGTGTTTCTGATCTTTTTAGTGACTGCAACAAGCGATGCCTATAGTCCGTAATTTCTTTATAACGACCTTTTGAAGCAAGATATTGGTTATTTTTTCTGAGTTCAACATGAAAACCGGAGCTTTTCATTTCGTACCATCGAGGTGATGGCCCACGGATTCTTTCTAGTTCAGAAAGTGTTTTTTTCTGAAGCAGTCTGTCTTCTTCGAGTTTCAAACTCTCCATTTTTAACATAGCCAGCTTGTATTGGTAGGGACTTGTCAAAGAAGTCAACGATCTTGATTTCATCATATCATATGCTGCATTACAAAACATGGAAATATCGAAGGAGTCTATTGGTATCTTTTCCACATCTTCCTTGGGAGTTGGGTAAAGAGAGCCTTGCCTTTCAGCTTTTATCACAGATGCTTGTAAAGGACTCTTTCTTTCAAGATCAACCATATCAAAATCATTATTTCGAGGTTTATGTAGAGGGTTGAGATACCAAGATGTTTCTAAAGGATGGACAACGTGAATAACATCATCTTTAAGTCGAACTAGTTCGGACTCAACCGTGTCTTTAAATTCATCCGTCGTGCTCTCAGATCCCTCGCCGATGCTGTCAAAGTTTTGATCTATATCTCCATTCAAAATATTATCCGTCTCCTTAAACGAAACGGATCTGTCAAAGGTCATTACACCGTTGGTTCGCTCTGACTTTCCTCTGGCTCTGAAGAATCAATAAACAATTCTTATAAATCGATTTATATTTGCCTGAAAAAACTATGACACTTTGGCTATAGAAATAATAATTTTCTGAATTTCAATTCAAAGATCCTAGTGAATGAATCATACTTACTTGATTCTACTTTTGATTCCGTTTAAGACAAAATCTTCGTCTGGATTTCTTCTGTATGTTCCTCTGGTCGGTAATGGCCGTAAACTGTATATATCCTTACGTTCAACCGGCGTCTTGCGTTTGGCACTGCTTGTGAACATTACGAAGAAAATTGCGGTTGCTATTAAAATATTATTGAAATTTCTCCCCCCAAATAAACCAAATGTTAGAAATGAACACAAAGTTTTCTAAAAATTTATTTATTTGATCTTTGTTCTCATGGTTACTAGCTACAGGAGAATACGATGTAATTAAAGTGCAGTTTGGAGTAACTAGGAACATGCTGGTGGCTTATCAAAAAACATCAATTACAAATGACGAGCAAATGTGAGCAATGGGGAATGTGGTTAGAGGAATAATTTTCTCGATGAGTGATGACCCTTTGTGTTCCCTAGCTCCCCCGAGAGCTTCCTTTTCAACTGTTTTGTCTTGCATCGACAGGCAAAATGAAGTAAGTCTTTTGAAATCCGTTCCAATCCAAGGAAACAGCCTAACGTTTTCGTTATTTTATGAAATTCTTGTGAAACTGGAACACTTTTTTCATAATTGAATCGATATTAGTGGTTATACGTCCAAGATTCTGTAAAAATCGGCGATTAAAACTTGTCGATTTTAATTGTTTTCGAAATATTCATAACCTTTCTTTAGAAATAGTCTTTACCAAAAGACTGCTATTATTACATCTTATATTTCTCATTTGTTCTTCCTAGTATTTGATGATTTCGTTGTTTTCTTTCAATTTCCAGACTCGAGGTGTGCAGCTACAGTGGATACAAGATCTACCCAGGTCATGGAAAAAGATATATACGTCTAGATGGAAAGGTACGTACGTTTACAATGTTCAACTTAAAAGAAATGCTTAATTTGTCTCTTCGTTGTTATAAAGTTATTTTTAAAACACACTTTAAAAACTTGATTGTAAAATCACATCTATATTATTTTGCCATAACCAATAAATGTTTTATACATCAATTTAATAGTCTTTCAATTTCCTGGACAAAAAATGTGAGAGATCCTTCTTGATGAGAAGAAATCCACGAAAGATTTCATGGACTGTCCTTTACCGTAGAAAACACAAAAAGGGCTCAGTTGAAGAGGTCTCGAAAAAGAGAACGAGACGAAATGTTAAATTCCAACGAGCCATCCAGGGTGCAACTCTTGAAACTATTTTGGCCAAACGCAATCAGAAGCCTGAAGTAAGAAAAGCACAAAGAGAGCAGGCAATAAGGTATTAAACACAACTGTCTGATGTCTTTTATCTAAAAAATTACATCTTTTATGCTTGACTAGAAGATTTTTGATTTTGTTTCTCAGTGAAGATTCTATTTTACCTACATTGTATGAGTCACAACTGTGAGAAAATGAATTATAATCAGAGAGAAACATTGAAAATCCTCAAAGTTAAACTGAATCAGATTTTGAGAATATTGATCATTTTGATGATTTAAAAACATTTAGAGCTGCTAAAGATAAAATCAGGCAAAAGAAGGAGGCTAAAAAGATGACAAAGGTATGTAAAGGCTATAGCAATTACTCAACTATTATAAAGTAAACTAGGTTGGCTTTCTTAGTGCAATTTCCTGTTGATAAACTGCTTTGAACAAAAATTTTATGTTCAAACATTGAAATTAATATTTATTAAAAACTTTGACTGTTTGTTTGTGGGTGGGCTAATTGTATGACAAACTTTTCATGACTAACTTTGGGCAAAATTATGACACATATTGTGAATTTAATTCCCACCCAAGTGAGTGATAAATTTCTTAATGAAGTTCAATGTTTATCATAAGTTCTCAATGATTTGATGAATCGTTGTCACTTTATATTGTGTATCATACAATAGAAACAGTTTAACGTATGCAGTTAGTCTATAGCTGTGTTTGCAAACCATTCAAAGCTCAACCAATAAAATCAATCAATCAATCAAAGAGAATTTGCAAATCAATCATGAATACATTTAGAGGAAGAATTAAAACTTTTGTTTAAATTTGTCTGTTCGCATTATTGTTATTTTATAAAAGAAATAAAAGATGTTTTTTCATGTTTTCACTGGCTTATGCAAACCTCAGAGACATTAGTGAGAACTCCCAAGCATGTGCAACCCTTGATGTTTGGTCTTGTGCTTGCAATGATCTGATCTTAATTTCTTGCAAGATCTCCTTGGTTTGCATTCACTTGTGGAAAACAGTAAACATCTTTTATTTACTTCTTACATGAAGTAGACCATTCTTACTAAGATATCTCAATAACACTCATCATTTATTCAAGGCCGCACAACAACCAGTGAAGACAAAAGCTCCAACAAAACAAAAAGGTGGAAGAAGTACTGGTCGTGTTGGTGGAAAACGTTGAATGTAAATTATCATGCATTTCACTATAATAAATGGTCATGGTTTAATGGTATTTGCATTTTTTTAGTTTTGTTTTAATTCATGCTTCATTGTTCAATGTTGTGTAATCTGGTTGTGAATTAAGAATGAAAATTTGAATCACAGTTTCAGATGTGAAACATAACCTCTCTTGACCCTCGTAATCCCCACCTAAACCTTCCCCTACCCCCTATCTGCCGAACAAATCAAATTGACCAAATCTTCACTTGTTTCATACAAGGCAAATACACAGAATTACTGTGTATTTGAAAATCTTAAGAGTATACAAAGTTTTACAGGCAGTCGAAATTTATTTCAACAAATTACTAGCTTTTGCTATTTACCACTGGTAACACTAGAACTAAACATTTAACTTGTAGACTGATCAAATCTTCACTTGTTTCATACAAGGCTGGTACCACTAAAACTAAACATTTAACTTGTAGACTGATCAAATCTTCACTTGTTTCATACAAGGGTGGTACCACTAAAACTAAACATTTAACTTGTAGACTGATCAAATCTTCACTTGTTTCATACAATGCTGGTACCACTAAAACTAAACATTTAACTTGTAGACTGATCAAATCTTCACTTGTTTCATACAAGGCTGGTACCACTAAAACTAAACATTTAACTTGTACAATGATCAAATCTTCACTTGTTTCATACAAGGCTGGTACCACTAAAACTAAACATTTAACTTGTAGACTGATCAAATCTTCACTTGTTTCATACAAGGCTGGTACCACTAAAACTAAACATTTAACTTATAGACTGATCAAATCTTCACTTGTTTCATACAAGGCTGGTACCACTAAAACTAAACATTTAACTTGTACAATGATCAAATCTTCACTTGTTTCATACAAGGCTGGTACCACTAAAACTAAACATTTAACTTGTACAATGTATATTTTCGTTAACAAATGTTGTGTGAAAGCATGAAAATATATTGAAACTCACCCTTTGTATCTACAGGGTGCATGCAAAATGCAACCCATTGAAATTAGCAGACATTTAACATATGCATGATTCAGCCGTAATCAACCTCCAATGAGACATAAACGTAATTGTAACGATAACACGAAATGATTTGATGATAGGCATTTTCAATGTGCTGTAGTTACAATTCATACGATCTCTTTACGCGTTGTTCCGTTTAGTCAACATGCAAACGACTGCAATTTAGCACAGTAAATACTTAGTAGGGAGAGACTTGCCGAGCGGAAATCGAATTCGTGTAATAAAAATTAATGCCCAACATAAAGTTTTAATTAGAGCCATAGAAATAGACCAAAAACTACAATTTTTAAATAATTTTACTGCACCCCAGAAAGTAAAATCTTTGTAATTCAATAGTTCGTGGTAAATTTGTAATATCATCATAAACGTGAGCACGTTATTTTTTTGCAACTCTCCATAGTCTTGAAGGGTTCATTCCAAGTGCAAAGTATAGTGAAGTAAGTTAACTGACTGTAAAATTCTAATTTCGTCGTGGATATGCAATTTGAGAGAGAGCGTACAGACAGTATAGAAAGACAAAGATCTGAGTCTTTTGACTGATTTTACACAATTCATCTTATTCACCTTGAAAGCAAAGAATAGAACCTTGTATAATATAGTTAGCATAAGTAATGTTTGTATAAATAGTATAAATAAGGTATGTATAATGACTAGTTAAGAGGGAAGCTCGTGTACATAAGAGAGCATTTCTCAAGTAAATACGCTTTTTTAGTCATCCTGGACTGAATAATATATTACACCTTGGAAGCTCACTAAACATATTTTCTAAAGTTTTTGAATGTCTTGTATATTTTATATCGTTAATACAGCGTCCATTCAAGGCTATCCACATGTACACAGTGCATATCTATTTTAGCCACAAGTATCACAGGCTTGCATTTTCGCTACAAGTATTTCCGTTGTACACCCATTTTCATCAGTGTAATTCAACTTTAAACAATTCAAGTATTCCCGCAGTAATCGATCTGAGTAATTGCTTTCCTCAGGTAACAAACAACGGACTTTCATAGGCTGACCATCATATTTCATTAATGAAACTCTCTCATTATTTTCTGCCATCACAAGTTCTGTTAAGTGTCCATTGTGATAGCCAATCAAAAGAGGGCTTTTGATACAATCCACGGAGTCTGACAGCAAGGGTAGGTATATGCCACCAAGGTTTACACCAGCACTTTGATCATCACAGTCACCATGATGAGAATCGTCACATATCACCAGAATTGGTCTTCGAAGAACATTAGCTAAGGCAAATATATGAATCTCCTCTAAAGAGTAAAAACTTGGTGTTGTTGGAAGAGCGACTGTTTTCTTCCAGTCTTTGCTCCATTGCTCTACACCAAATTCCATTGGCGTACCAGCATTTTGATCCTCCAACTGCCTTTCGACTTCCAACTGCCAGCGTTGTCGATAAGTGCCTAAAATGAAGTTGAAATAAATAAGGACTTGTTTGTAAGGACTTGTCTCGTATCATACGCGTATCGTTCTCGTATCATACGCGTACCGTTCTCGTATCATACGCGTACCGTTCTCGTATCATACGCGTATCGTTCTCGTATAATACGTTTATCGTTCTATGTTATACGCGTATTGTTTTTTGAATCTCTGACAACGGCTGATATAGTCTGTCTGCTTGCTTACAGGACAATTGCTCGATGCTGATTCGCGGCTAATTTAGTGTATTTTTTTCCTACCTTACTTAATATTAAAGTAAATGGTTTGAAAACGGGAGTATCGTTACATGTTTGTAAATGTAGATCGTCCAGGTTAGTATAGTCCTGAGAAGGACTGTTTTTGTTGTTGTTGACTGACGTTTCGACAACCTTAGCGGAAGTCATCTTCAGAGTCAAAAAATGACGAGGTTTTAATAAATCTGATTTGAGAAATACAATTTGTCGGCACTCGCAAGTATTTTATGAGTCTGTTTTCTTTGTTCGGTTCTCGTAACTCTAATCAAATTATTAAATAATCCCAGTCGATCACGTCGTTTATTAATTGAGTGAATCTAGTATCTTGCTAAATGCTTGCTTTCAACTTCAAAAGGAGTATCTTTTTGCCAGAAGACACCTTTTCTTTTTTGCTTGTTTTGTCACTGCAAAGGCTACTACATAGACACATCCAACAATAATACCTTTTACGTTTTAGCCAATCTTTGTAAACATGCGTGCAATTTTACGTCGTGTCTTACATGTATTTCGTGCACGAATTTTCGTTTTGTTTTCGTTTTCGTGAATATAGACGATAGTGTGGCCTTGGGCCTAAATCTTTAAAATTTACAGAGCACCGTTCTCAAACGATTTATATATTACATATTTCTTTTTGTCACTTGCGTATAAAGTCTATCAAGCGACAGTTGGCTATTCTGTATTTCTCGAGTCGACGAGGAACTTTGTTGTGAATGTGACCGAGTCGAAAATATCGCTTACAAGTATGCTATTGTCGAAAATATCAATGCAAAGGCAGGAAAATGAAATTCAGCATGTAACATTTTTTGTTTAAATTTTTGCATGTTAATTTGCAACTCAATCACATGTCGTGATTTGCAAAGCGTGATACATCCGGTATGTAACAAAAGCTTTTTTGTTTAAATTTTCCTCATAAAAAATTACGTGAAAAACAACTCAGAAAGTAAACTCTTTTTAATCTTATTAGAAATGTCGTGATTTGCAAAGCGTGATACATCGGTATGAAAGGTAAAATTAGACAGATTGTAGTCCTCGGCCTCAATGTACGTTAATATATTACAATGTACGTTGGTAAATTAAATGTAGACATGATCTACATTTTAAAACACCGCACTGCATAAAACATTCTTTCAAATGTACGTTAGTATCCGCTACATGTTGAAAGATGTAAATCGTCCAAGTTAGTAAAGTCCTGAGAAGAACTGTAACTGTTGGTGTAGGTGTTGACTGACGTTTTGACAACCTTAGCGGCAGTTGACTCTGAAGATGACTACCGCTAAGGTTGTCGAAACGTCAGTCAACAACAACAAAAACAGTCCTTCTCAGGACTTTATTAACCTGGACGATCTACATTTACAAACATGTAACGATACTCCCGGTTCAAACCACCCGATTTTCATACCTGTAACATCTTCGGTAAGAATTTGCCAGATTGTTTTTATAAGACAACCACAATTGAAAATAAGTGTACTGCAAATAATTTCCATTCTTTACTGCTTTTATCGTACAAACGTTCAACTGCAATCAAAGCTGTGTACAAATTTTAGCACTATGCCGTGACAAGAAACTGGAGGGGTTCCTCGACTGGTTCGACCGTTCGTACACGCTACATACACGCTTTGTATACGTGGGCCGGTTACTTAGACATTCAACAACACTCACTTCCACATCAAAAAGGTGGAGGAAGTACCGATTGTGTCAACGGGAAACGTATGTAAATTATGACGTATTTCACTTAATAAATGGTCATGGTTCAATGGGTATTTTCATTGCAAATTAAGCATGAAAATTTGCATCACAATTTCAATTGTGAAACATAACCAACATGCAATTTTTGCTAACTGCTCTCGCTAATAAGTTGGAAAATTAACTTATGGCTTAATTGGGTTAAATATTTACCTAAATTTATTCCGTTAAATACGCTGGGCGATCGCAACATTGGCTACATGTTTATGAGGTGTGATATCTGCCAATATTAATTTATTCACTTTTGAAGTTGAAAGTTTCCGTGATTAAATGCTGTCATTCATTATACTCTTTTAACTTCAATTTTGCAATGAAAACTCTCTTTTGTTGAGCATTTCATTCGACATTTCATTTGACATTGCATAATAATCGCTTATAATAATACATATTTCCCATTTCATGTTGGTGCAATCTCAATCGTGATTTTCTGACGTAAATCTTTATATGAAAAATTTAAACAAAAAAGCTTTTTACCTCACGATGTATCGCGCTTTGCAAATCGCGACATGTTAATTTGCAACTCAGAAAGTAAACTCATTTTAATCTTATTAGAAATGTCGTGATTTGCAAAGCGTGATACATCGGTATGAAAGGTAAAATTAGACAGATTGTAGTCCTCGGCCTCAATGTACGTTAATATATTACAATGTACGTTGGTAAATTAAATGTAGACATGATCTACATTTTCAACAACAACAAAAACAGTCCTTCTCAGGACTTTATTAACCTGGACGATCTACATTTACAAACATGTAACGATACTCCCGGTTCAAACCACCCGATTTTCATACCTGTAACATCTTCGGTAAGAATTTGCCAGATTGTTTTTATAAGACAACCACAATTGAAAATAAGTGTACTGCAAATAATTTCCATTCTTTACTGCTTTTATCGTACAAACGTTCAACTGCAATCAAAAGCTGTGTACAAATTTTAGCACTATGCCGTGACAAGAAACTCGAGGGGTGGCTAGACTGGTTCGACCGTTCGTTCAATTTACATACACGCTTTGTATAGGTGGGCGAGTTACTTAGACATCCCAACAACACTCACTTCCACATCAAAAAGGTGGAGGAAGTACTGATTGTGTCTGCGGGAAACATATGTAAATTATGACGTATTTCACTTAATAAATGGTGATGGTTGAATGGGTATTTTCATTGCGAATTAAGGATGAAAATTTGCATCACAATTTCAATTGTGAAACATAACCAACATGCACTTTTTGCTAACTGCTCTCGCTAATAAGTTGGAAAATTAACTTATGGCTTAATTGGGTTAAATATTTACCTAAATTTATTCCGTTAAATACGCTGGGCGATCGCAACATTGGCTACATGTTTATGAGGTGTAATATCTGCCAATATTAATTTATTCACTTTTGAAGTTGAAAGTTTCCGTGATTAAGTGCTGTCATTCATTATACTCTTTTAACTTTAATTTTGCAATGAAAACTCTCTTTTGTTGAGCATTTCATTCGACATTTCATTTGACATTGCATAATAATCGCTTATAATAATACATATTTCCCATTTCATGTTGGTGCAATCTTAATCGTGATTTTCTGACGTAAATCTTTACATGAAAAATTTAAACAAAAAAGCTTTTGCTATTTACCTCGCGATGTATCGCGCTTTGCAAATCGCGACATGTTAATTTACACCCCAGAAAGTAAACTGTTTTTAATGTTTGTACTTCCTCAATAATTCGTGGTAAATTTGTAATAGCATCATAAATTTGAGCACATTATATTTTGCAACTCTCCCTAGTCTAAAGGGTTCATTCCAAGTGTAAAGTATAGTAACGTAAAATTAGACAGATTGTAGTCCTCAGCCTCAATGTACGTTAATATATTACAATGTACGTTGGTAAATTAAATGTAGACATGATCTACATTTTAAAACACCGCACTGCGTAAAACATTCTTTCAAATGTACGTTAGTATCCGTTACATGTTGAAAGATGTAAATCGTCCAAGTTAGTAAAGTCCTGAGAAGAACTGTAACTGTTGGTGTAGGTGTTGACTGACGTTTTGACAACCTTAGCGGCAGTTGACTCTGAAGATGACTACCGCTAAGGTTGTCGAAACGTCAGTCAACAACAACAAAAGCAGTCCTTCTCAGGACTTTATTAACCTGGAAATCTACATTTACAAACATGTAGCGATACTCCCGGGCTCAAACCACCCGATTTTCATACCTGTAATATGAGGGTATTGGTAAAGGGTATGGATTTGAAACAGCAATGCGTGACGATGACGTTTTTTACTTAAAATGAAGCTCATTTCATTATACTGTTTTAAATTTGAAATTCAAATGAAGTTCATCAATTTCATATGTTAATTTCATACATGAAGTAACATGCTTGCATGAAGCAATGCGCACGTGGCCGTTGACGCTTTTATAAATTTATTTAATTCAGATTATTCAACGAAAACTAACTTTGAAGCGGTGTATCCTAAATTGAAAGATGGTGGAGGATTTGACATCTTTTGTAATTCACTTAATTTAAAGTGCAAGAGGGTATGGGTTAAGGGTACGGATATGAAACAGCAATGCGTGACGATGACGTTTTTTACTTAAAATGAAGCTCATTTCATTATACTGTTTTAAATTTGAAATTCAAATGAAGTTCATCAATTTCATATGTTAATTTCATACATGAAGTAACTTGCTTGCATGAAGCAATGCGCACGTGGCCGATGAAGTCTTGTATGGGGCGCCATCTGTGGTTTTATTATTTAACCGCATAACACTGTGATTTTTTTCCCTGATTTATTAAATAACCAATTTCTTATTTTGGTTATTTAATAAATAACCACTTTATGAAAACATCGAAAATTGGTTATTTATTAAATAACCAGTTTCTGCGCACGCGAAAAAATGGTTATTTATAAATAACCAGTTTCCGCGCACGCGGAAAAATGGTTATTTATAAATAACCAAAATAATTTCGCGACACTTGGCGTGCCAAATGACGTCAGCAAGCAATAAAATAATTTTCTCAGTCCCCCCCTGGATAAGCACTCATTTCCGCACTGTCGCGTTATTGAAGTTAGATCGCTTGTCCCGAAAAATTTCATTTTGTCTGTAAGTTTCCCGCTCGGCGTGTTTTCTATTTGTCTTTTTTGTCAAATAAATATGTCTCAAACGCACAATCTCCAAAGAGCAATTACCGAGGCCGTAGGAAGAGCAGTACACGAGGCACTGCGAGATCAACATGAAGAGGTAAGATACAAAGCAAAATATTCTCCGTTCATACTTGTAAATATTCCATGTGTGATATGCGTCGAATCACGAGGTCGTCGATTTTACGTGATAAAATTCTTACAATTTTAGTCCTCTGATGCAGCTACTGCCCACGAAAATAATAATGAACCACAGGTAACATTCTAGTGTATATGGGTGCATCCAAGTGAAAAACATCGTTAAATTTTGATAAATTTATAACTTTGCCAGAATTCCAACTCAAATGATGAAAATGAGGGGTAAGAAAACTTAGCAAATATTATGTGGTATTTCTATAGTACTACATTTGTATTGAACTCATTTCATTTTAATCAGTAACAATTCAGGAAGAGTTGGTCGACCAAAGAAAATAATTCCAAGGGATGTATTGGAAAATTTGCTTCAGTTACGACTTACGATTGTGGAAATTGCCAGACAGTTGAAAGTCGACAGGTCAGTGGTCTACAAAGCAATGTCGGAGTATGGGTTGTATCGAGAAAACTTTTCACAATTGTCACAAGACGAAATAGAGAAAGAAGTGGACGCCATTAAACAAAATCATCCTAAGGCTGGCGAGGTCATGGTTCAAGGGTACCTTGAATCTAGGGGTCTTTACATTCAGCGACAAAAAGTGAGAAAAGCCATTCATATGGTTGATCCATTAGGTGTCGAAGAGAGAAAAAGTAAACCAATAAAGCGTCGCATTTATACTAATCCTTTTCCCAACTATATTTGGCATATTGATGGGAACCATAAACTTGTTAGATGGAGACTTGCCATACACCATGGTATCGATGGTTTTAGTCGATTAGTGGTATTTGCACATTGTTCTTCAAACAATCGAGCAACTACTGTTCTATATCACTTCTTATGTGCTGTCTCGAAGTATGGGCGTCCTTATAGAATTCGTACCGATCTTGGTGGCGAAAATGTTGACATCTGGCACAACATGATTTTAACACGAGGCAATGAAACTAAGCAGGTTGTTGTAGGGAATTCAGTGCACAATCAGAGAATCGAAAGACATAACAGAGCACTAAATGAACAAGTTCTAACAAGTTTTAGATCTGAATTTTATGCACTTGAAAGTGAAGGTGTATTGAATGTCAATAATGACACTGATATATTTTGCCTCCATTCAGTGTATCTGCCACGAATCAACAAAATCCTTGACGAGTTTGTTGCTGCTCACAACAGCCATAAAATATCTACAGAAGGAAACAAAACACCTGAACAATTGTTTTGGGTTAACATTAGAAATGCATACCATGAAGATGATATGCTACCAAACACAAGCAATCTTGACATTGAAGAACTAGCGTCAAGTGATTTACCTCACGTCAATGTACCAGATATATCATGCCCTTTGCAAGGTGACTTACAGTTGCAAAATTTTAGTACATTCATTCAATCTCTTTCGGCAGTGAGCGGAAAAGCAGCATACCTTGAGGCTGTTCGTTTCTTGGGACAGTCAATGCTTGATGAGCAGAACCCTGAAGATTTGCATGCACAATAGATGACTTGCCTTGTTTACTTTTGCTAGCAGGCAGATTTGGTCTAGGGCTTTTGGAGAACATTAGCAACAATGGTCAACCTCTCTTGGGATTGATCTGCCAGCCAGCAAAACGTAAACAAGACAAGTCATATATGAGTAGTAAAAAAATATAGTCTTCACTTACTATTTTATACAGTAATGACATGCTAGGAGGAATATAGATACGTCAGTTAGAAATACGTTGTTTTACATCATTACCAAATCGTAAATTAAATCAACACAACTATTGCTTAGACTCTAACTTCAACAGCTTTCTTATATATGCATGTCTATGGAGCACCAAATGTAGGTGAGTTCAGAATCCCATCGTTCATCATTTCTTGAAATTCTTCATAACTAAGATCATCTTTATCATTATGAAGTGGCAAATACAAAATGTGAGCGCAGGTGTTGCTTTTGGGACGAACATCTTCCCAGAAACAAATAGTTGGTTTGTCATGAAATCCTAAGGGAGGCTCTTCCTCCAACCCAGTTGCAAAAATCATAATCATCGGCAAAGATACAAGAGGCTCTGAAACATTGGCAAAGCAGTTTGCTAGAGAAAAATAAATAAAAGTTGTACTTTTGAAATGGATTGTTCGTCAAAAAGCAATTATTTGATAACACGTTTGATAACAAGTGGTTCATTATTATTTTCGTGGGCAGTAGCTGCATCAGAGGACTAAAATTGTAAGAATTTTATCACGTAAAATCGACGACCTCGTGATTCGACGCATATCACACGTTGAATATTTACAAGTATGAACGGAGAATATTTTGCTTTGTATCTTACCTCTTCATGTTGATCTCGCAGTGCCTCGTGTACTGCTCTTCCTACGGCCTCGGTAATTGCTCTTTGGAGATTGTGCGTTTGAGACATATTTATTTGACAAAAAAGACAAATAGAAAACACGCCGAGCGGGAAACTTACAGACAAAATGAAATTTTTCGGGACAAGCGATCTAACTTCAATAACGCGACAGTGCGGAAATGAGTGCTTATCCAGGGGGGGACTGAGAAAATTATTTTATTGCTTGCTGACGTCATTTGGCACGCCAAGTGTCGCGAAATTATTTTGGTTATTTATAAATAACCATTTTTTCGCGTGCGCAGAAACTGGTTATTTAATAAATAACCAATTTTCGGCGTGTGTAGAAAATGGTTATTTAATAAATAACCAATTTTCGGCGTGTGTAGAAACTGGTTATTTAATAAATAACCAATTTTCGATGTTTTCATAAAGTGGTTATTTATTAAATAACCAAAATAAGAAATTGGTTATTTAATAAATCAGGGAAAATCACAGTGTTATGCGGTTAAATAATAAAACCACAGATGGCGCCCCATAGTCTTGTAAGTGTATTTTGTTCGCATTATTCAACGAAAACTAACTTTGAAGCGGTGTATCCTAAATTGAAAGATGGTGGAGGATTTGACATCTTAAGACGTGGTGTGCAAGCCAGTGAGTTGATCATGATATAGCCACCTCAGTCTGGACATAGTGTGCCATTTTTACGCGATTCAGGAGGACTTTGACAGGCTGTTGCTTTCATAAGACCAATCCAATGCAATTTAAATGTGACACCTTCCGAAATTATTGACTCAAGCGAAGTGAGTATTTTTTTAATGTTTATTTATGAAAAACGAGAAAGAAGTGCATGCTTGTTGTTGATTAGTTTTTAGACAAAAAAAGCACACTTATTCCATAAGTTTGTTTATGTATTTGTGTCATGTGTTTCATTGCTAATTTTTCATATTTGCCTTGTTCGTCAGGAAGATTGTGATCCTGTACCCACAGTCATGTGTTTTAACTGTAAACTTGATGTATCTGTCAACAATATCAGGGAGCATCAAGAAAGCTGCTGTGATGATGTTGAATTGTATGTACTATTTTTTATGTTAAAAATTTTAGCCTTGTCAATTAAAACAATTTATAAATGCAACTAACTACCATTGTGTTTCTTCAACTTGAATAAAAGGTGGTCTCGCATTAACATTTCTTAACATAACAGTAGTGCGAAAATATACTTTCATTTTAAAATGCTTTTAAGAAAATCCTATTGGTAGTATTTTTTTGTTTAAGCAATTTGTAGAAATTTCCAACCAACAGCTGTTGGTTACAAATTGTATATGTGAAGCATATGTGAAGCTAACCAAAAACATTTGAGTTAGAATTAAAAAGCTACTAATATATTTAAATTTTCTGATTTCATCATTTTGCTTATGATTAGAGTACAAACTGTTGAATAAGAAGTTCATGAAAAAAAGATTAACTTGGATGATAAGGCATGTGTTTTGAAGAAAATATAGCATACCTTGCTGTCATTGTTTATAAATGTATTTATAAAGCCTGTTTGCTTTACAGGAAGAACTGTTGAACATTGTGTACACTGTAAAGTGCGAAGGTTGCAATGAAACCATGGCAGTGGCTCAAACTAATGAACATGTTTGTTATGGCAAGACAACTGACTCTTGTGAAAATGATAAAGGAAGGTAGATTTTGGTTTAACCAGTGGCAGAGACTAAGAAGACGGCAGTTCTCCCCCCTCCCCCCCCTTTAATTTTTTTTTAAAAATTTTAACCAACTTTAAAAAACACAAGAACGTTTTCATTTCAGAGGTTTACTTATGAAATACAGTAATAAGCATGTAATTTAGCTAAAGGGGGAAACTCAGAGTTTAGGTTTACCCTGCAATGAAGTACATTGTCCGGATATATATGGTGTGTATTCGTAACGTACTGAAAATGTCAAAGTTTTATTAGTAATATTTTCTTGTGTGGTAGCATCAAGTTACTCAACAAAATGACATATTTCATCACTAATTCAAACCCTAACTTTAATATACTTCTTCATCTCTTAAGCTAAACAAGCAAATAAAACTAGTGAAGACTAGTGTTTTTGCCAAAAATATTTATTAAGGAAAACATCTTTTGTTAGAGGCTTAGATGTTATGGTTGGAATTAATTTTTATGTTTTACTAAACTTGGAACTGTTACTGTATCATTTATCAGCGCATATTTTTTATTTACATATTTTCTAGAAGCTGGTAATTTACCATTTATTAAGATTTGTTAGTATTTAGTCATTAAGACTTGACTTCTTTTAATGAATAAGCATTTGAACCTCATTGTTCAGGAATATATCAGTTTATTACTGGAATCGTTTTCGCCTGTCGCTTCCCAAATTTCGTCAAGTGTCCGCCACTGGGTATAACCTTGTGCTGCAGCAATTATCCTGATAAGAATATACCTTTAACTCTCATAATTTCTTACATAAATCATGTTGCCCACTCTTATGCTACATTCTTGTGCTATTGCTCAAATGTTAGAAAATTTTTAAATGTGATTTTTCCATCATTTTTTTCCTAAGGGAAAGTTATCGAACAGTTGCAGAGATGAGTAGTCCATTTATTTCTGGAACAGGTTATGATAATTAGCTATGATTTTGAGATTTTATCAAGTCAGTGAAGCTGTCTGAAATATTTTAGCGTCCATTAATACGTCAATTTATTTACTTATATTAGCTGTTGATGCGATAAAAACTATCTTTCCCTGGCATACTTTATCTAAAATTTCGTCAGCCCTTGAGATGGCCAATGGTAATACTGACGAAGCAGTGAAATTACTTTTGCATAGTTTCATGTTTGTAAATGTAGATCGTCCAGGTTGGTATAGTCCTGAGAAGGACTGTTTTTGTTGTTGTTGACTGACGTTTCGACAACCTTAGCGGTAGTCATCTTCAGAATCAAATGAGGAGTAAACGTCATGTTAGCCGTATTTGTTATCTGGTTCTTACGTCATTGTATTGTGTGTACAGGAAATGTGTAATCCGTGCTCGTATCAGTCGTCTGCTGGTGGATTTGACAATCTGAATAGCCTCTTGTGTGTTCAACGGGGTTAAGCAATTCTCAAAGAAGTTTAACACTTCTATGTATTTGTCAACACCATGATGATGTGAATCACGTTGTGGGTTGATTGTTCTGTTAAGTTCATCTTCATCTGCATTGTCGATAGGCATAAGGGTGTCAGGCACCACAAATCTAACTATCTTCGTTCGGGCATGGGCTGTCCCAATCGACTCCATAGTCTCCATAGTTCTACAGAATTAAAGAGCAAAATCAGACATTAGTATGTTTTTGAAATTTTGTTATCATTTACGGCAGATAAAAGCACTTAAATTTTCATACCTGACTTGCAAATTCTTCAGCAATTTTCCTACTAGGGTTCGAAAGCATTCCTCTCAACCACAATTGTTCAGGTGTTTGGTTTCCTTCCGTGCTAATGGTCCCCTGTTATGTCCCTCTGTGAATAATTGTAAATGCCGGTTGATAACTGGAAGATAGACGAAATGTAATGCAGCTATGTGCTGCTCATTTGATGGATCAAGAATCCCTTCATCTTCCATGTGGTAGAATAGCTGGTAAAAGAGGTAAGTACATCCTGTAAAAAGGTCCCTCCAAAGCCTTTCTATGCGTTGATTGTGAACGCTTTTTCCAGTTATGTGACTCCCTCTGTCTGGGCCTCTACGTGGATGCGACAGCATAAACCAAGCTACTTCTGTGTTTTCTCTTCCTTTATCTGAGAGTACGCGAGAAGGCAACTCAAACTTTTCGACTGCAGATTGAAATAACTGGTAAACTGTGGAAGATTTGTTATTTGTTGAACAGGTAAGATATACAATTAATCGAGAATAACCGTCGATTCCTCTATGGATCACGAATCTCCAGCTAATGTGGAAAAAACACGTTAATTGTTTCGAGGATATACATAAAGTTGTTATACACTAGTTTATTTGCATATGTCACAGTTGAACGTCGAACACATTTGTAGTTTTTACCGTATTAGCTTGTGGTTGCCTTCAATATGCTACAATGAAAGAGGCCCAGTAACACAATAACGCCTTCGAGAAATTACACGCATTTCAAGAGCTCGTAAAAGTGTTCTCTCTGGATCAGCTCTGCGCATCGATTGACGAATGCGTGTTTGTTGGACAAATACACCTCTGGATCGCAAAAGGCCTGTCGTTCTTTTCGAGCCAACGTTCGGAAAGTCTTTCTGAATGTTCGATATCACCTCGTCTTGTTCGTGATCTGTAAAAGCTGAGTAACAGTTTGCAGCTGATAATCCACATTCATTCATTTTCCTTTCTACAGTTCGTTTACTTGTACCAAATAATTCACCACTGAAGATTGTTTGCGTCGACACTATCCTTGAACTGTCTGGATTTCGGTGCTAACATTCCATGGCCAATTGTAAACAGTCAACAACTCTCGTCTACGATTTGCAAATCGACATATCGTATAACAATGTTGTATATCCAATCTAAACGTTGTTCAAGCCGATCATATTTTGATCAACATTCCCTAGCAAAAGCCGTATTGTTGAATTAACGAGTTTTGTAATGAATGATTGTCAAGAAACATGTCTACAAAACTAACATTCGAGTGAATTGTATATAAGAGTATCGCTTTATATAAGTGTACCACAATAAACACATAAATCATGCCTGCACAAGGAATTTCTTCATCTTTGTCAAATGCTTATATAAATGCCAATATTCTTCGTTGTTGTAACGAATCTGAGTCATGGTTTGTATACATGTCATTATACAGTTATAGAACATGATGATAAGCAATAAAGCAATTGCTAAAGTAGTTTTCTGTGAAAATGCCAATGAGTTTATCTTAAAATTATGTGACGTTCCATTTACAGCTTTTGCTTTTTTCTTTTCAACATTGGTTTGTTATATTTGTTATCACTGAATACACTCAACTGCAAATTTCGCTTTACTCCTTCATTAACTCTTGCGAAATTAGAAAAAAATATTCCTCTCAAATAAAAGGTCTTGAAATTGAAATTGCTGACGCTATGATAAGCTTGACTTCCACAATATTGCCAGTTCGTACATATGAGCAATTTTTCTTGCCTCTTGAATAATTTCTTTTGCCATCAATACAGATTTGCAATTATTCTGTTTAATAAAAAAAAAAACTTATAGCCAGTGAGTCTCATGTTGTGTATTAAGACCAAATGTAGTTCTTAAGAATCTGAACAAATTCATTATCAGTCCCTCAATGCAACAAAGTCGTCTTAAGATGAAATATGATGTCTGTGATTTGAGTAGTAGGGAAAACACAAAATCGTCTCAGGAAAAGACATACTCAGGTGGGTCATTACCATTACTAATATTATAACTAGTTTCTTTAGCAAGTAAAATTTAGGAAACCAACGTGGCCCCTAATTTTATTATTTATTACTGTTCTAGCACTTGATTATGGATGCTCCAGTTCATTGCTATTAATTTAGGATTTGCGATGTGATCATATTTTTTGAGATGATATAAAGAAAATGTACAAGAAATGAATAAGAAAAGATGGGAACTTTTATGAGGTTTGTCACATCTAATGTATACCAACATTTATATAAGTAAGTGAATACATTTCATTTAATAGCTACTTTATTAGTTACTAATATCGATACAATTATGTTAAACAACCACTGTGCCAATATAATGACAATACTTTTTTCATGTTTATTGAAACAAAAATTTGTTTAATCTTTTTATTGCACAACATGTTTTCTGTCATGTTTCATGTTTATAGATGTTGATTGTTTATCGTCCAGGTTAGTATAGACCTGAGAAGGACTGTTGGTGTTGATGTAGACCGATGTTTCGACAACCTTAGTGGTAGTCATCTTCAGAGTCAATTGCCGCAAAGGTTTTCAAAACGTCAGTTGACATCAACACCAACAGTTACAGTTCTTCTCAGGACTTTACTAACTTGGACGATTTACATCTTTAAACATGTAACAGATACTCCCTGACTCAAAACATTTATAACAAAAACCCTGATTTTCTTCTGTTCCAAAACATCCACAGCATTTGTGCTGGTGATGAAGATTCTGAAGCACTTTTCTCCTCAAAAATTGGCTAAAAAATAAAAAACCTTACTCTAGGTGAAACTGAAAAGTTGGCAAATAATTCCTTCTCCTGATAATGAAGTTCCTTCTCGTAATGAAACCTGTGCAAAGCATGGCTTGTTGCGTTATTTTCCTGTTCTTTTTATCTCGTTTTTTTTCTGTCTTGAGTCTTCTTTTCCGACTTTAGTTTTAGAGTCTTTGCATAACATTGTGAACACAAGTTTTCATTCTCTGGAGTACCAAAGAACACACATTTTTTAGTCAGACATCTTCTCTCGACCGTTTCTACTTTTCTTGAAATTGGCGAAATTTTCGCACAGTTTGGATGGGATACAACGTTAACTGAGCGCGTGGATGAACTTGCGTTAACAACATGAAATTTCTTTTCATCTTTCCTTCCACTGTTTGTTGTTTTTCTAGTTGTATTACCTTGCACATTGAATGTGGATTGTCCGATATCTTTTTTTCCTGAAGAACGACAGTTGAGAAACTTTTCTTTGTAGCAATCATAACACAGGCCATGTAAGTTGACATTTGCTTTGTTCACACAGTTATTATAACATCTATCATTAGGTGGTGCTGATGGGGTAACCATGTGAGGCCCCTCCTCCAATAATGCATGCAATTTGGTGAAACAGGTAGAACATAGGCCTTCATAATCTGGGTTGGCAGTGTAACCACAGCCAGTAGAAGTACAAATACGGGTGTTGTCTGTGTTTCTACATTGATGACAATAATTGCTTTCAGCACTGGCAATGTTTCTGCAGTTAATCTTTGCACATGGTTTATGCTCCTTACTATTTTTAAAATGGTCTTCATATTTTGTTGAATATGATGCCATTGTTCTCTGATCATTAAAATCACAAACCTGAAATTTTTTTCCATCTTTCCTTCCCATGTTGGTTGTTTTTCTAGTTCTATTGCATTGGACAACGGATCTGGATTGTCCGACGTCCTTTTTTGCTGAAGAACGATAATTGAGAAATTTCTCTCTATAGCAATCATAACACAGGCCGCGAAAGTCATCATTTCCTTTGTTCACGCAGTTATTGTAACATCTATCATTAGGTGACGCTGAAGGAGTTGCCGTCTTTGTTCCCTCGTGTAGTATAGATTTCAATGTTGTGAAACAGGTAGAACATAAGGCTTCATAATCTGGGTTGGCAGTATAATCACAGCCAGGAGAAGTACAAATACGGGTGTTGTCTGTGTTTCTACATTGATGACAATAATTGCTATTGATACTGGCAATGTTTCTGCAGTTAATCTTGGCACATGGTTTCTGCTCTTTACTGTTTTTAAAATGGTCTTCGTGTTTTGTTGAATATGATGTGATTGTCCTTTGGTCATTAAGTGATAGCTGATTCAATGTCAATGTTTCCAAATGTATATCTTCCATTGATTTAAAATATCTTTTTAACATTCCATAAACATGTGGATTTTGTTCACAAGCTTCCATTTCAGCGACGAGTATTTTCATTTCACACTCATTGTCAAATGTGTAATGTAACTTTAAATAGTTTAAATATTCCCGTTGTAGTCGACCAGAGTAATTTCTTTCCTCTGGTAACAAACAACGGAGTTTCATAGGCTGGCCATTATGTTTCATCAATGGTACTCCAATCACCATTTTGTGATCGGCCAATGTATGCCCTCTCTCATTATTTTCTGCCATCACAAGTGCTGTAAAATGTCCATGGTGATAGCCAATTATAAGAGGAGTTTTGATACAATCCACCAAGTTTGACAACAATGGTAAGTATATGCCACCAAGGTTTACACCAGCACCACGATGAGAATCGTCACATATCACCAGAATTGGTCTTCGCAGAATATTAGCTAAGGCAAATATATGAATCTCTTCAAGAGAATAAAATCTATGGTTATTGGTTGATTTTGCTGTTGATGCAAGAGCAACGGTTTTTTTCCAGTCTTCATACAATTGCTCTACACCAAAATCCATTGGTATACCAGAATTTTGATCCTCCAACTGCCTTTTCACTTCCGACTGCCAGCGTTTCTGATACATGCCTAAATTGAAGTTTAAATGACTAAGATATAGAGATTACTTCATAGTTATTAAGCGCGCATGGTTTTTGTAGTTGTTTCATTTAACAGTGAATTTATGTAAGATGTCAGACCATGGGAACGAGTTCCCTAAAGAACCAACTATGATGTAATTACTTGTTTATTTTAAGCACTATTTTTTCACTCAATGAAACATTTTAATGAATTATTATTCTTAAATCACACACTATATTTGCATTTACACTAACACGACTTCTTCATTTGCTTTAAAGGGGTAATTGTACGGAGTAAAAGCTTATTAAGCTAATAAATTTAGTCGATTTGATTGTGTTTCTGACGTTGAACAAATTCACTGCCTTTTAGTACAAAAGAAATTTAACCTGTTACGACTGCTACGATAGTAATCTGGTATAGTGTAAACGGAGCCTTATAGAATATATATTCTAATTATTTCTTTTGTGAATCGTTCATTTCATTGTGAATAAGATAGATAGCTCAATATATGAAATCATCATGTTCTTCTGGTTTATTTCTGAAGAAAGCTGCAGTATTTGGCCGAAAATTTAATAAAATATTTTTAAAAATAGTTTAAATCAAAAAAATGTAAGGTAGTAAAAAGAAGTTAAGTATAAAGAAGTTAGAAAGGAGTTTTGTTAACTAATTTCTTACTGAATGAATGAAAAACCAACGCTCCTTGTTTTTTAACACTTCGTTGTCAAGACAACGCAAGTGCGTTGCTACGAGCATCTGTCATCAAGACAGAGTTTCTGTTCATATTCATATAATTAGTACTGCTAACTAATTTTTAATAGTGATTTTTCACCGTTTTATAAAAACAGCATCATCAAATCCGTAAGCAAGATTTTCAAACCTGTTTGATCTTCAATAAGAACTTGATAGACAGTTTTTCTCTGCCTTAATTTTCGGTCATGAATACCCCACATACCAAGTGAAGCTGCATGCATCAAAGAATTTCCGTCGCCCAAAGTGTTTATAGGAATAAGCTTCGGTAGAATTTTACACCAGTTGAGAGACCTGTTGTTTTCCAACTCATTTTCAAGAGCAATGTTTACTAAGGTTGCGTACAAAAAATCTTGAAAATCTCTATTGAAACAAGAAAGATTCGGGAACAAAAAAGTGTATCGCGATGATGTTAATAAGAATCGATGTTTTCCCTGATCTGCAGGGAT